TCTTGGGGTTGTACTCATCCTTCTTCTTCCTCCAAACACGGCAAGTGGAGTTTAGACCAAAAAGCTCTATTTTTGTCTCATCAGACCACATGACCTTCTCCCATTCCTCCTCTGGATCATCCAGATGGTCATTGGCAAACTTCAGATGGGCCTGGACATGCGCTGGCTTGAGCAGGGGGACCTTGCATGTGCTGCAGGATTTTAATCCATGACGGCGTAGTGTGTTACTAATGGTTTTCTTTGAGACTGTGGTCCAAGCTCTCTTCAGGTCATTGACCAGGTCCTGCCGTGTTCTGGGCTGATCCCTCACCTTCCTCATGATCATTGATGCCCCACGAGGTGAGATCTTGCATGGAGCCCCAGACCGAGGGTGATTGACCGTCATCTTGAACTTCTTCAATTTTCTAATAATTGCGCCAACAGTTGTTGCCTTCTCACCAAGCTGCTTGCCGATTGTCCTGTAGCCCATCCCAGCCTTGTGCAGGTCTACAATTTTATCCCTGATGTTCTTACACAGCTATCTGGTCTTGGCCATTGTGGAGAGGTTGGAGTCTGTTTGATTTGAGTGTGTGGACAGGTGTCTTTTATACAGGTAACGAGTTCAAACAGGTGCAGTTAATACAGGTAATGAGTGGAGAACAGGAGGGCTTCTTAAAGATAAACTAACAGGTCTGTGAGAGCCGGAATTCTTACTGGTTGGTAGGTGATCAAATACTTATGTCATGCAATAAATTGAAAATGAATTACTTAAAAATCATACAATGTGATTTTCTGGATTTTTGTTTTAGATTCCGTCTCTCACAGTTGAAGTGTACCTATGATACAAATTACAGACCTCTACATGCTTTGTAAGTAGGAAAACCTGCAAAATCGTCAGTGTATCAAATACTTGTTCTCCCCACTGTATGTGGGGAGAACAAGTGTTGTATTTGCTGTATTTGCCTTGCAAAAGTACTGTATTTGCCTTGCAAAGTATTCACCCCCTGGCATTTTTCCTATTTTGTTGCATTACAACCTGTAATTTAAATGGATTTTTATTTGGATTTCATGTAATGGACATACACAAAATAGTCCAAATTTGGTGAAATGAAACGAAAAAAATAACTTGTTTTAAAAAAAATTGAAAAAATAAATAACGGAAAAGGGGTGTGTGCATATGTATTCACCCCCGTTGCTATGAAGCCCCTAAATAAGATCTGGTACAACCAATTACCTTAAGAAGTCGCATAATTAGTTAAATAAAGTCCACCTGTGTGTCACATGATCTGTCACATGATTTCAGTATATATACACCTGTTCTGAAAGGCCCCACAGTCTGCAACACCACTAAGCAAGGGCCACCACCAAGCAAGCGGCACCATGAAGACCAAGGAGCTCTCCAAACACGTCAGGGACAAAGTTGTGGAGAAGTACAGATCAGGGTTGGGTTATAAAGAAATATCAGAAACTTTGAACATCTCACGTAGCACCATTAAATCCATTATTATAAAATGAATATGGCACCACAACAAACCTGCCAAGAGAGGGCCGCCCACCAAAACTCACGGACCAGGCAAGAGGGCCTCCTGTAGCTCAGTTGGTAGAGCATGGCGCTTGCAACGCTAGGGTTGTGGGTTCGATTCCCACAGGGGGCCAGTATGGAAATGTATGAACTCACTAACTGTAAGTCGCTCTGGATAAGAGCATCTGCTAAATGACTAAAAATGTAAATGTAAAAAATGAGGGCATTAATCAGAGAGGCAACAAAGAGACCAAAGATAACCCTGAAGGAGCTGCAAAGCTCCACAGTGGAGATTGGAGTATCCACAGAGCTGGGCTTTACGGAAGAGTGGCCTGAAAAAAGGCAAACACGTTTGGTGTTCGCCAAAAGGCATGTGGGAGACACCCCAAACATATGGAAGAAGGTACTCTGGTCAGATGAGACTAAAATTGAGCTTTTTGGCCATCAAGGAAAACGCTATGTCTGGCGCAAACCCAACACCTCTCATCACCCTGAGAACACCAACCCCACAGTGAAGCATGGTGGTGGCAGCATCATGCTGTGGGGATGTTTTTTCATCGGCAGGGACTGAGAAACTGGTCAGAATTGAAGGAATGATGGATGCCGCTAAATAAAGGGAAATTCTTGAGGGAAACCTGTTTCAGTCTTCCAGAGATTTGAGACTGGGACAGAGGTTCACCTTCCAGCAGGACAATGACCCTAGGCATACTGCTAAAGCAACACTCGAGTGGTTTAAGGGGAAACATTTAAATGTCTTGGAATGGCCTAGTCAAAGCCCAGACCTCAATCCAATTGAGAATCTGTGGTATGACTTAAAGATTGCTGTACACCAGCGGAACCCATTCAACTTGAAGGAGCTGGAGCAGTTTTGCCTTGAAGAATGGGCAAAAATCCCAGTGGCTAAATGTGTCAAGCTTATAGAGACATACCCCAAGAGACTTGCAGCTGTAATTGCTGCAAAAGGTGGCTCTACAAAGTATTGACTTTGGGGGGGTGAACAGTTATACACGCTAAAGTTTTCTGTTTTTTTGTGTTATTTCTTGTTTGTTTCACAAAAAATATTTTGCATCTTCAAAGTGGTAGGCATGTTGTGTAAATGAAATTATACAAACCCCCCCAAAATCAATTTTAAATCCATGTTGTAAGGCAACAAAATAGGAAAAATGCCAAGGGGGGTGAATACTTTCGAAAGCCACTGTATGGTGGTATTATAAATGTTGTATTTTAGATATGTAGTGGTGCAATAATGTTATATATATTTTATATATATTTTATTTTATTCTTGTTTTTTGTCTTAATGTGTTTAGACATCAGGAAGAGTAGCTGCTGCCTTGGCAGGAACTAATGGGGATCCTTAATAAATACAAACCATTTTTTTTAAACAAAGGTCTCTCTTTCTCTCTCTCATCCATAGTTGTAAATCGTTGTATCCTGAGTTGACCTATTCATTATATAGTGCACATAGACCTATACCTAAAAAAGTATCACCCCCCTCTAAATTAAGGATAATTGATTGTACCATTTAGTAGGACAACTAGACTACTCAAATTGGACACACTAGCACACCCTGCCTTTTCGACCTAGGGCTAGGGGGGTCAGAAAGCCTGTCTTGGCTTACTTAATTACAGTGTAGGAAAGCCTAAGTACATGTAGGAAAGCCTAAGTACATTTCAACTGTACCTGTGACAGTATAGTACCTTGACCAAGGGTCATGGACTAATTATGCCTCGGCTTACCTTTAGCCCTGTTCAAATGTAGTGCACATAGGGTGGAATTTCAGGTGCAGACATACAGTGCCTTGGGAAAGTATTCAGACCCCTTGACCTTTTCCACATTGTTACGTTACAGCCTTATTCTAAAATGGATTAAATAAATAAAAATCATCAGCAATCTACAGACAAAACCCCATAATGATAGAGCAAAAACAAGATTTATACAAAATAAAAAACAGAAATACCTTATTTACATAAGGTGCTATGAGACTCGAAATTGAGCTCAGGTGCATCCTGTTTCCATTGATCATCCTTGAGATGTTTCTACAACTTTATTGAAGTCCACCTGTGGTAAATGCAATTGATTGGACATGATTTGGAAAGGCACACACCTGTCTATATAAGGTCCCACAGTTGACGGTGCATGTCAGAGCAAAAACCAAGCCATGAGGTCGAAGGAATTGTCCGTAGAGCTTCAAGACAGGATTGTGTCAAGGCACAGATCTGGGTAAGGGTACCAAAAAATGTCTGCAGCATTGAAGGTCCCCAAGAACACAGTGGCCTCCATCATTCTGAAATGGAAGAGTTTGGAACCACCAAGACTTTTCCTAGAGCTGGCCACCTGGCTAAACTGAGCAATCAGGGGAGAAGGGCCTTGGTCAGGGAGGTGACCAAGAACCCGATGGTCACTCTGACAGAGCTCTAGAGTTCCTCTGTGGAGATGGTTGTCCTTCTGGAAGGTTATCCCATCTCTGCAGCACTCCACCAACCAGGCCTTTATGGTAAAGTTGCCAGACGGAAGCCACTCATCAGTAAAAGGCACATGACAGCCCACTTGGAGTTTGCCAAAAGGCACCTAAAGACTCTCAGACCATGAGAAACAAGATTCTCTGGTCTGATGAAACCAAAATTGAACTCTTTGGCCTGAATGCAAAGCGTCACGTCTGGAGGAAACCTGGCACCATCCCTACAGTGAAGCATGGTGGTGGCAGCATAATGTTGTGGGGATGTTTTTCAGCGGCAGGGACTTGGAGACTAGTCAAGATCAAGGAAAAAATGTACGGAGCAAAGTACAGAGAGATCCTTGATGAAAACCTGCTCCTGGGACAAAGGTTCACCTTCCAACAGGACAACGACCCTAAGCACACAGCCAAGACAACGCAGGAGTGGCTTCGGGACAAGTCTCTGAATGTCCTTGAGTGGCCCAGCCAGAGCCCAGACTTGAACCCGATCGAACAGCTCTGGAGAGACCTGAAAATAGCTGTGCAGTAACGCTCCCCATCCAACCTGACAGCTTGAGAGGATCTGCAGAGAAGAATGGAATAAACTCCCCAAATACAGGTGTGCCAAGCTTGTAGCGTCATACCCAAGAAGACTCTATGCTGTAATCGCTGCCAAAGGTGCTTCAACAAAGTACTGAGTAAAGGAGCTGAATACTTAAATTATCCAACATTTCTAAAAATCTGTTTTTTCTTTGTCATTATGGGCTGTGTAGATTGATGGGGGGGAACAATTTAATACATTTTAGAACAAGGCTGTAACGTAACAAAATGTGGAAAAAGTAAAGGGGTCTGAATACTTTCCGAAGGCACTGTAGGGCTGGATTCAATACGTATCACCGAAATTCAGTGCTATAGCGCAATTTGAAATGTAAAGGTAATTTCCGATTGAGCCGACATATGCAGCGTTTACCGCACTTTCCACTAACACGGGAACAACTTTAAATCTCTTTAGCGCTACAGATGGAATGGGGCCCTTAATCTTCTTTCCAATCCTCTCCTCTTCCAGGTGCATTATTTCAAAAGTCTGCAGTGAAACACCCACCCCCTGACCTCCCTGAGATGCCCCCATGTAGCTTTAATCCAGAAGAATACAAGGTACAGTAAGAATGTAGCTTCATTCCAGAGGAATAAAAGTTACAGTAAGAATGTAGCTTTAATCCTGAGGTATAAAAGTTACAGTAAGAATGTAGCTTTAATCCTGAGGAATACAAATTACAGTAAGAATGTAGCTTTAATCCAGAGGAATAAAAATTACAGTAAGAATGTAGCTTTAATCCAGAGGAATAAAAATTACAGTAAGAATGTAGCTTTAATCCTGAGGAATACAAATTACAGTAAGAATGTAGCTTTAATCCAGAGGAATAAAAATTACAGTAAGAATGTAGCTTTAATCCTGAGGAATACAAATTACAGTAAGAATGTAGCTTTAATCCAGAGGAATAAAAATTACAGTAAGAAGGCAGGGTTTACATTAACAAAGTTGGAGTGTCAAACTTATAACAGTGCCGGGTTTGGGTCAATTCCATTTTAATTCAGTCAATTCAGGAAGTAAACTAAATTTCAAAATTCCTGAGCAGAGAATTAAATGTCACTTTACTTCCTGAATTGACTAAATTGACCCCAACCCTGGTGATAAGTTCCAGTAACAGTGTATTCATTTTAGTATAGTGTGTACCTTTATAATATAATCTGCCCATGTCCTAGGTCCAAAAATTCATATTGAACATGGTATCATTATTCTAGGACATGTCCAAAGAGCGTATGATGGAGATTCGGAGACAGAACTGCAACCCTATGACCATGAAAGTGACCTACTACAAGAAGCCAGTGTACATCCACCAGGGACACATGCAGTGGCTGTGGGACGTGGACGGGAGGCGCTACCTGGACCTGTTCGCTGGCGTTGCCACTGTCAGCGTGGGGCACTGCCACCCGTAAGATCCTTTCATATACCCATCACTATCCACCTAGCCTGAGTACCAGTCTACAGTATTTGGCTTGACAATGAGCAATGGAGTTGGCAAGAGCACAAACAGATCTGGGACCAGGCTACTATCCACCAGGAATTGGGTCAAGTTCATTTTTGATTCAGGAAGTAATTTCAATGACGAAAATTGGAATTGGAATTTCAGTTTACATCCTGAATTAAAATGGAATTTACCCCAACCCCGCTTGCTATAGAAGAGAAAGTATCACTCATCATTTGTCATTTGTCAATGAAGTTCCAAGGATCCTCTGAACATCTCTAAGCTGTTGCTGATGTTGTGTCTCTGTAGAAAGGTGACAGCGGCAGCAGAGAAGCAGCTGCGAAAGCTGTGGCATACAACTAACATCTACGTGCATTCCCCTCTGCATGAGTACACTGAGAAACTAGCTGCCACCCTACCAGACCCACTGAAGGTACAGCACCATATCCTCGGTTAATTTTGTTTGTTTATTTCATTGTATGACACAGTGATGTTTCACCACAACACACGGAACTTATCTGCAATATTGGTCAGGTTCTGCAGGTTCCAAAGGTTCCGATGACCAAATGAATTGATGATCATCAATTGTTTGGATTTCTATTGAGACAAAGCGCCATAATTACAAACACAAATATCCTGTCTGTACCTGTGTTTCCTGCTAGGTTATCTACCTGACAAACAGTGGCTCTGAGGCCAACGACCTGGCTATGCTCATGGCTAGGCTACACACAGGAAACTTTGACGTCATCACACTGAGGTAACCCTGGCTACGGTTTGGTCTTTATTGGTTTGCTAATGAATGTTCAACTGTGATAATAAGTGGTTGTTTGTCTCTTTCCTATACAGTGTGATAACAGTCTGAAGGATAACAGACTGATGTATAACAGTGTGTGGTTGTACTCTAGTGTTACCTCACAGGAGAAGTTTGAACTGCTTCTTACTGCAGTGTAACATGAGAACAAGGGAGAACAAGGGAGAACATGGGAGAACATGGGAGAACAAGGGAGAACAAGGGAGAACAAGGGAGAACAAGGAGAACAGGGGAGAACAGGGAGAACAGGGAAAACAAGGGATAACAGGGAAAACAAGGAGAACAAGGGAGTGGTGCAGTGGTCTAAGGCACTGCATCGCAGAGCTAGCTGTGCCACTAGAGATCCTGGTTCGAATACAGGCTCTGTCGTAGCCGGCCGCGACCGGGAGACCCATGGGGCGGCGCACAATTGGCCCAGCGTCGTCCAGGGTAGGGGAGGGTATGGCCGGCAGGGATGTAGCCCAGTTGGTAGAGCATGGCGTTTGTAACGCCAGGGTTGTGGGTTCGATTCCCACGGGGGGCCAGTATGAAAAAATAAAATAATGTATGCACTCACTAACTGTAAGTTGCTCTGGATAAGAGTGTCTGCTAAATGACAAAAATGTAAATACGGGAGAACAAGGGAGAACAAGGGGGAACAAGGGAGAACAAGGGGGCACAAGGGAGAACAAGGGGGCACAAGGGAGAACAAGGGGGCACAAGGGGGCACAAGGGGGAACAAGGGGGAACAAGGGAGAACAAGGGTGAACAGGGAGAACAGTCAGAGAACGTGTTTGCTCTGAAGTGGATATGAAATGTTTAGTTGATCATAAACTAAAAACTGTGAATAAACTCTGGTTGCCTGTCTGTTGCAGGGGTTCCTACCATGGTGGCAGTCCACATACTATGGGTCTCACCTCCAATGCAGCCTATAAGTACCCCGTTGCCTCTGGGTTAGGCTGCCACAATGTAAGTATGAGATGGCGATCACTACTGTCTGTCACCAGGACCGGCCCGCTTATTAGGTACCCTATGGTGGCAGATTGATGAGGGCGGCTTTTTCTGAGCTAAACTGACCAAGACGCACCTCCAACAACACATAAAACCTCACATAATTCTGCCCAAGAACAATTAACATTTCTCTCAACCAGTGGCATAAGGGCTTTTTAGGTGCAGTGCCCACTTTGTCAAAGGCAGGGATGCAAAGTATTTATCTTGTCCATTCCCAGCGATGCAGCTCTGCAGCACTCCACCAACATTCCGTCCCAAAAAATTATCAAACATAAATCATGTAGCAGATATAGCACATGGTAGAAAGTGTATGTGGCCTTTTTCTGTAGCCTACAAGCTGGAGATAAAATGTATGACAATGTAATGAGACTAAATTGTTTTTGGTATCTTTTAATTGTCAATATTAGACTAAGCACAGGTGATTTGATGATGTTGACATGTTGAAGTTTAAATGGTGCTTGAATAGTGGAGGCAGCTGTTTTCTTTGCGACATGCGGTAACTCCGTGGTTCTAAATCAATAGTTGTTTAGTGCTTTGAAAATGACGGAAATATCAACTTGCTTGACCATGCTTTAGGTCAGTGGTTCCCAACCAGGGGTACTAGGACCCCTGGGGGTATTTGGCCTATCCACAGGAGGTACCTGAGAAGACTCATGAGACCATGTGCTTACTGGTAAAATGGAAATGAGGGGGTACTTCATGGGTATTCTGGGCAGAGAAAAATTCAGTTGGTGGTACAATAAGGGGAAAAGGTTGGGAACCCGCTGCTGTAGGTCATGTAACTGTTTGTTACGTGCAATATGCTTTGTGGACTTCACCGGACAGATGTTGCTCTCCGGTTTTGTGATGAAACAAAAGGTGTGGTTGAATTTAGTCTGCCGCTGTGTCTTCTTATTGTCTCAGCCTTAGGCCTATATATCACGGTCGCAAGGCATATGAACTAACAGGTTATAGAGCAAACCACGCAATTATCACAACACATAGGCTGTAATATGTTGTTGTTTTTTGGCTTCCCCCTGTGATTTTACCCACGCTACTGCTTCAACGTCTGGAAAAATACATATATTAGACGTCTTTTCAACGTCATTTTGCTTACTGGGACTATTCAAGTAGGGGCAGCAATTGTTTGGTCTCACCCTAGGGCAGCAGAATGGCCAGGACCAGCCCTGTACCGAATAGTAATTTTTCACCCATATCTTACATTATATGTCCGATCTATTACAGCAATCTGGGTTTTATTTGAAGCAATGGCGCAGTGAGGACGAGACAGGTTTAACCTAATTTGACTCCTCTCCTGCCAGACCATGTGTCCTGATGTATTTGCTGGCCCATGGGGAGGAAGCAACTGTAGAGACTCCCCAGTCCAGACCATTAGGAACTGTAGCTGTCCCCAAGGTACAGTAAAACACACACGCATGCACACACACAGGGTGTAGCCATCTATGAACCACCAGGGAGGTCTTATGGGGATTAGGAGTCTCCAGGTTACACACACATGTGCAAACACACAGACACAATAACCCCCTCCCCCCTCCCCCCTTTTTGTAGGCGTTGATACATTTTTCGTTAGGGCAAATCAAGTCTAACATTTAGAAGCCTTTTTAAACCTTAAATACACAAGTTAGCATTTCCTGCTGTACCGGAAAATTCTCAGCAACAAAACCGTGATACAATTAGGCTAATATCCTAAATCTGTAGCCAGGGCATTATAACACTGCTTCATAAAAGGCATTATATTATATCTTGTGACCAAAATCTATTATTACACTGTCTATTTTCTGCATTGGGCTCCCGAGCAGCGGTCTAAGGCACTGCATCTCAGTGCTTGAGGCGTCACTACAGACCCCCTGGTTCGATTCCAGGCTGTATCACAACCGGCCGTGATTGGGAGTCCCATAGGGCGGCGCACAATTGGCCCAGCGTCGTCCGGGTTTGGCCGGTGTAGGCCGTCATTGTAAATAAGAATTTGTTCTTAACTGACTTGCCTAGTTAAATAAAGGTAAAAAATATATATAAAAAATAAAAATAATAATGCTACTGTGATATTTTATCTATAGAAAGTATTACTTTATTTTCCAACATCAACTGTTGATGCTGTTTTGTGCTAAATCCTGTTTTGTCTGTATCTGTGCTAAAGTGTGTAGCAGACTATACTGCCCTACCAAGCAAAAAGACAGTAACTGCTCATTTGGTCGAAAATGAGTTCATGTCATTTTTGCTACATTAAATACATGCTTAATCATGTGGACAAGTATCCTGCCTCTATTGTATTGTGGAGAAAATGGGGGTCATATTAGCAGTAACTGCATAAGGTTACTGTGAAACCAAGGTAAATAAAAGCCATTTTTCTCAGTTCCACGCTATGAGCAGGTACTGCCTTTTTGCTTGGTAGGGCAGTATAGACAGAGGTAATTTTACAATCATATTCAATCAAAACCTGTATCTGGTTGTAAAACTCCAGTAGTGTGTTATTTAGCTCAGTTGAATAAGGGTGAGGGTTATGCGGCAAACCTGAAAATGAATATTTTTTACAGTCAGACCTAAGTTCAGTTCAAAGTCCACTTTTTAATCAAACATTTACCATTTCCTAGAACATTTTTCAACCCATTCACTTTATAACTCCCTGTCTGTCAGCGAGTAACACTACTGTGCCTGTAAATCTGTCAAACAAGTTCCATGGTCCAGTGTTTACACTACCTTGAAAGAGGAAGTTTGAGTAAGGGTAAAAATGTGCAACAGCATTAATGCGGTTTGGTTGTTGGGTGGTGAAACACATTATTACCCTTGATTGCTGACGCGCAAAACATTTTGGGACTAATATCAAAAATGGAAACTAATGAAACAAATACCCAAGTTCCTTTCATTCTTCAATTACAGGATCGTGTACGGCGAATGACAAATACATTGGGCAGCTGAACGAGGTCTTTGCCACCAGTGTTCCCAGTCGCATCGCTGGTTTCTTCGGTGAACCTATTATGGTACAGTTCTTATCGTTATCCTTTCAACATCTCCATAGCTACAAGAAGTAAGGATAAACCCTTATAAAAAACAACCCAATAACCATCTTGTTACTGCAAGAAATGTATAAGGCAAAAAAAATAAAAATATATAAGGCTTTAAACAAGAAGCTGTGACCTAAAAACGCATAATCCCGAGTGGCGCAGCGCTCTAAGGCACTGCATCTCAGTGCTTGAGGCGTCACTACAGACCCCCTGCTTCGATTCTGGCTGTATCACAACCGGCCGTGATTGGGAGGGCGGCGCACAATTGGCCCAGCGTCGTCCGGGTTTGGCCGGTGTAGGCCGTCATTGTAAATAAGAATTTGTTCTTAACTGACTTGCCTAGTTAAATAAAGGTAAAATAAAAAATACAGTAAGAACAATGTAGCACATTGCTATGGGGAATAAATGACAAGCTGAAGAAGCCAACTCTTAATTGGCTATTATTCCAGCTCAGCTAATTATCTTGGCTTAAATATACACTGCTCAAAAAAATTAAGGGAACACTAAAATAACACATCCTAGATCTGAATGAATGAAATAATCTTCTTAAATACTTTTTTCTTTACATAGTTGAATGTGCTGACAACAAAATCACACAAAAATTATCAATGGAAATCAAATTTATCAACCCATGGAGGTCTGGATTTGGAGTCACCCTCAAAATTAAAGTGGAAAACCACACTACAGGCTGATCCAACTTTGATGTAATGTCCTTAAAACAAGTCAAAATGAGGCTCAGTAGTGTGTGTGGCCTCCACGTGCCTGTATGACCTCCCTACAACGCCTGGGCATGCTCCTGATGAGGTGGCGGATGGTCTCCTGAGGGATCTCCTCCCAGACCTGGACTAAAGCATCTGCCAACTCCTGGACAGTCTGTGGTGCAACGTGGCGTTGGTGGATGGAGCGAGACATGATGTCCCAGATGTGCTCAATTGGATTCAGGTCTGGGGAACGGGCAGGCCAGTCCATAGCATCAATGCCTTCCTCTTGTAGGAACTGCTGACACACTCCAGCCACATGAGGTCTAGCATTGTCTTGCATTAGGAGGAACCCAGGGCCAACCGCACCAGCATATGGTCTCACAAGGGGTCTGAGGATCTCATCTCGGTACCTAATGGCAGTCAGGCTACCTCTGGCGAGCACATGGAGGGCTGTGCGGCCCCCCAAAGAAATGCCACCCCACACCATGACTGACCAACCGCCAAACCGGTCATGCTGGAGGATGTTGCAGGCAGCAGAACATTCTCCACGGCGTCTCCAGACTCTGTCACGTCTGTCCCGTGCTCAGTGTGAACCTGCTTTCATCTATGAAGAGCACAGGGCGCCAGTTGCGAATTTGCCAATCTTGGTGTTCTCTGGCAAATGCCAAACGTCCTGCACGGTGTTGGGCTGTAAGCACAACCCCCACCTGTGGACGTCGGGCCCTCATACCACCCTCATGGAGTCTGTTTCTGACCGTTTGAGCAGACACATGCACATTTGTGGCCTGCTGGAGGTCATTTTGCAGGGCTCTGGCAGTGCTCCTCCTGCTCCTCCTTGCACAAAGGTGGAGGTAGCAGTCCTGCTGCTGGGTTGTTGCCCTCCTACGGCCTCCTCCACGTCTCCTGATGTACTGGCCTGTCTCCTGGTAGCGCCTCCATGCTCTGGACACTACGCTGACAGACACAGCAAACCTTCTTGCCACAGCTCGCATTGATGTGCCATCCTGGATGAGCTGCACTACCTGAGCCACTTGTGTGGGTTGTAGACTCTGTCTCATGCTACCACTAGAGTGAAAGCACCGCCAGCATTCAAAAGTGACCAAAACATCAGCCAGGAAGCATAGGAACTGAGAAGTGGTCTGTGGTCACCACCTGCAAAACCAGTCCTTTATTGGGGGTGTCTTGCTAATTGCCTATAATTTCCACCTGTTGTCTATTCCATTTGCACAACAGCATGTGCAATTTATTGTCAATCAGTGTTGCTTCCTAAGTGGACAGTTTGATTTCACAGAAGTGTGATTGACTTGGAGTTACATTGTGTTGCTTAAGTGTTCCCTTTATTTTTTTGAGCAGTGTATTTATAACTACATAGGCCATAGCCTACTGGTTCTAGTGGTTATGCTTTAACATAGTTATTTCTGGCTCCATATAATCTGACAAGTACAGCCAATTAAATTGAATTATTTATCCAATATAAACTTAACTCATTGTGGAGACGTTGCATTACACATTTGTCATGTCCGAGGGTTTACTGTTGAAAATAAACAATTGTCACAGGATAGTTGTGGTTTCATATGTTGTTTAATTGTTATTATTATATATTGCTTCATGTATTTCTACAGGGAGTTGGAGGAGCTGTCCAATACCCCAAGAACTTCCTGAAGGATACCTACAAACTTGTGAGGGAGAGAGGTGGGGTCTGCATTGCAGATGAGGTTAGATACCTTTACATATTCCATCCTCGTATGTATTTTTTCAATATGCCTATTTGTTTATATACCATTCATTACATATAACAAATGACAACTATATAGATGCTTCAGAAATCATTAATAAGCAAGTCATCATGCTACATAAAAGGATGTCAAAAAGGGTTATGTCCACATAGATCTATGTGTCACTCATATATCAACCATGTTTTCCTGTTTGTACCTGGTCTTCTCTGCATCAGGTCCAGACAGGATTTGGCCGCACAGGAAGTCACTTCTGGGGGTTCCAAGGTCATGAGGTCATACCAGACATGGTCACCATGGCGAAGGGCATCGCTAATGGCTTCCCTATGGGAGCGGTTGTCACGACACCTGGTAAGACAGGAAGCACTTGCTTTATTTACCACCTCAGTGGAGGGGAAGAAGGTATAGCACTCCACACACAGCTGATCATAGCTACTGTTAAATAAAACAATGACTGCCTGACACATGCATTTGCTGAATAGAATATAAACGTCTTCTGTCTTTCCCAACACCCTCCCACACACACACACACACACACACACACAGGGTCAGCAGCACTGCAGCGCCTCTTGATGGAGGGGCTAGGAATTTGCTCACTGCCATCATCCTTCAGTAAATTTAAGATGTAAATAAACATTCTAATTCAGTTTCTCCTAATTGAAAAGTCATCACATCATGCTATATACAGTAGAAACCAACTCTGGAACCTTACAGGTTCTATAACTGACAACCCTAATACAGGTTCTATAAGGACCATGATGCAGGTTCTGTAACTGAGAAATGTGATACTGGTTCTACAAGTGAGAACCGTGATACAGGTTCTACAAGTGAGAACCGGGTAATGCCAGCTTTTTTTGTAACAGCTTTGTTTCCATGTCAACACATCCCTATTGTCCCTGGAATCAATAGGCCAGAAACAATGATTGTTCACCTCTCACACCACAATGATGGTTCAGGTCTCACACCACGGTGTGCTAACAATCAATGTCTCTGATTGACGTCAGACAACACACCACTCGGACTGTGTGTCTGTGCTAGTGCGTGTGTTGAGGCGTGAGGAAACATAACCAGCTAACCCTTGGAGGTCAGTCTCAGCTTTCAACAGGTCTCACAGAGTGTAGAAATAATCACTATTGTAATGTGGTAGTGATTTTCCTTGTGGTTCTGGATTCATCCACTTTTCAGTCCGTGGCCTGTATCAAGGGTTGGAACGGTTCAAGGAACAGAACCGAAAACAACAAAATTATTTGAGGAACAGAGCCCAAACCGAAAGTGATCTATACTTTTCCGGAAAAGAACCGTTATTTTTAAAAAACATGGGAACCGGTTAATAACTGCATTTTTTCCCTTTCCCACAAAAATCGCAACAAAGAGCCTATTGCAAAGCCCTCACTCTATCACTCAGAAAGTTATTCCATCGTCTGCCTGCCAGCTGGAACTCTCTGCCAGTGGGTATGTGTGTAGGTTACCTGCCCCTCCCCTCTGAATCATAGGTTTCTGTAGCCTACTGATGACGTTACAAGCGTAATTCAGAAAAAGAGATGTTTAATTAGAGAATGGATTGACATTTTCAATGCTAGTTAAGGACTGAGTGTACAAAACATTAAGGACATCTGTTCTTTCCATGACATAGACTGACCAGGGTGAATCCAGGTGAAAGCTATGATCCATTATTGATGTCAGTGGTTGTGATGAGTGTGATGAAAGGAGTCAGTCGCACGAGGGTAATCACCGAATACAGAGTTTAATCCTTCGTTGACACACACATGCGCTCAAATAGCGATCAACGAAACAGGCACAGGGGACACTCATCCCTGGCAAATACACTGTAATGGTAGAATCCAATAATACATAGGCACAGGGGGAAATTCTACCCTGGCAACAACAAGGTAAGGGTAGCTCAACCGAGCTACACACAGCTCACTACAAACAATCACCCACACAGACAAGGAAGCAGAGGGAACACTTAAACAATGACTAATGAGGGATAAGGACCAGGTGTGTGTGATAAATAAGACAAAACAAATGGAGTGATGATAAATGGATCGGCAGTAGCTAGTAAGCCGGTGACGACGAACGCCGAAACCTGCCCGAACAAGGAGGGGAGGCAGCCTCGGCGGAAGTCGTGACAGTTTTTAAATCCACTTCAAATCAGTGTAGATGAAGGGGAGGAGACAGGTTAAAGAAGGATTTTTAAGCCTTGAGACAATTGAGACATGGATTATTTGTGTGTGCCATTCAGAGGGTGAATGGGCAAGACAAAATATTTAAGTGCCTTTGAACTGGGTATGATAGTAGATGCCAGGCACACCGGTTTGTGTCAAGAACTGCAACGTTGCTGGGTTTTTCACGCTAAACAGTTTCCCATGTGTATAAAGAATGGTCCACCACCCAAAAAATATCCAGTCAACTTGACAAAACTGTGGGAAACATTAGTCAACATGGGCCAGCATCCCTGTGGAACGCATTCGACACCTTGTAGAGTCCATGCCCCGATTAATTGAGGCTGTTCTGAGGGCAAAAGGGGTTGCAACTCAATATTAGGAAGGTTTCCTTAATGTTTTATGCACTCAGTGAGTAGTTATCACGTTTCACATTGGATTTATTAACTACAAAAAGGTAAGAGGTGTTTTGAATTTTTGTGCTGCTCTGCACACACAAGCTTGTTAGCTAGCTAGCGAATGTTTGCTCTGGCCCAACGTTAAACCAACTCATTCAAAGATCCTCCATAGAAGCCACTCCTCCGTAGGTATAATTCTGTGGGCCTAATTCAGATACTGCATGTCATAACGAGATGCCCAGCGCTTAAAAGGCAAGCTTCCTCCATCCTCACCCTCAAAATGTCAGTTGCATCTCGCGCCCTACATTGTGACTGGTAGCACAGTGTGTGTTTTTCTTTCATCATGATTAAACCAATGCTATTACGCAAAATACAATTTGCTCTTCATGACTTTCCTTTACAGATTAAATTGCTTGACCACTCCACAGAAAGCTGCTCTATCCGCACTGATCGGTGAAGTCATTTAATGTCGAGCTTAATGTTAAGATACACACTACCGTTCAAAAGTTTGGGGTCACTTAGAAATGTCCTTGTTTTCGAAAGAAAAGCAATTTGTACTTTTTTTGGTTCTAACACCAGTCTCAACGTCAACAGTGAATAGGCGACTCCGGGATGCTGACCTTCTAGGCAGAGTTGCAAAGAAAAAGCCATATCTCAGACTGCCCATCTTAATATTTTATTTTTATTGGCCAGTCTGAGATATGGCTTTTTCTTTGCAACTCTGCCTAGAAGGTCAGCATCCCGGAGTCGCCTCTTCACTGTTGACGTTGAGACTGGTGTTTTGCGGGTACTATTTAATGAAGCTGCCAGTTGAGGACCTGTGAAGCATCGGTTTCTCAAACTAGACACTAATGTATTTGTCATCTTGCTCAGTTGTGCACTGGGGCCTCCCACTCCTCTTTATATTCTGGTTAGAGACAGTTTGCGCTGTTCTGTGAAGGGAATAGTACACAGCGTTGTACGAGATCTTCAGTTTCTTGGCAATTTCTTGCCTTCATTTCTCAGAACAAGAATAGACTGATGAGTTTCAGAAGAAAGTTCTTTGTTTCTGGCCATTTTGAGCCTGTAATCGAACCCACAATTGCTGATGCTCCAGATACTCAACTAGTCTCAAGAAGACCAGTTTTATTGCTTCTTTAATCAGCACAACAGTTTTCAGATGTGCTAACATAATTGCAAAAGGGTTTTCTAATGATCAATTAGCCTTTCAAAATGATATACTTGGATTAGCAAACACAATGTGCCATTGGAACACAGGACTGATGGTTGCTGATAATGGGCCTCTGTACGCCTATGTAGATATTCCATAAATTTTTTTGCTTTTCTTTCGAAAACAATGACATTTCTAAGTGACCCCAAACTGTTGAACGGTAGTGTAGGTATCAAATACATAGTTATCAATAGGTATCAAATACATCAAACAGATGGAAACCACGTTTGACTCCATTCAATTAATTCCATTCCAGCCATTACAATGGGCCCATCCTCCTATAGTTCCTCCAACCAGCCTCCTATGACTCTCTCTCGAATCCTTCTATGGAAGGAGTTTTCCCCTGGAATGATGAGGTGTGAAGTGAGATGTCGCACTCAGCTCTGTTTGTGACTTGTTTTCCAGAGATCGCCGCTTCATTTGGCAAGGGCGTTCACTTCAACACGTTCGGTGGTAATCCTGTGGCTTGTGCCATCGCCTCATCTGTTCTGGATGTAAGCAGAAACACATCCGACTAAACCAGTGTTTCTCAACTCCAGTCCTCCAGTAGCCCCAACAGCACACATTTGGGTTGTAGCCCCGGACAAACACATCTGATTCTACTCATTGAGGGCTTGATGATTAGTTGACTAATTGAATCAGGTGTGCTAGTCCGGGGTTACAATAAAAATGTGCACTGTTGGTGGTACTTCAGGACCGGAGTTGAGAAACACTGAACTAAACTACCATCTATGATGAGCATTAAAACACATTAAACAAATCTGTGCTGAGCTACTGTGTATAATGCATTTTCTTCTGCGTTTCCATTTACTTTATACCGAATGCTTATTATTAGAATTTGCACTAAATTAGTTTTCTATATTTAAGAGTAGATTAGAGTACCATTTAAGTAGATTTCAGCTTTAGAATTTGCATGTCACAGAAGCACACATTTTAAAACATTTTATTGCATGGCTAATGCACCATGTTCCTTCATGTTGCACACCATAGAAATAGAATGACTATAAATTGCACGGCACCATTATAATTGCTAATACTCCATGTGTTGTTAATGTTACTAAATGTTCCATGTTGCACACCGTAGAAATAGAGTTGCTTACTATAATTGTATTTCACCACCAGACCATGGAGGAGGACGGCACGCAGCAGATCAGCCATGACGTGGGGACCTATCTGCTGACAGAGCTGGCCAAGATGAGGGACAAGTATGAGATCATCGGGGATGTCAGAGGGAAAGGACTGCAGATCGGAGTGGAGATGGTGAAAGATAAGGTGAGTGGGCCTAGTCCACCCTATGGTGAAAGATAAGCTGATATGGTGAAAGATAAGGTGAGTGGGCCTAGTCCACCCTATGGTGAAAGATAAGCTGATATGGTGAAAGATAAGCTGAGTGGGCCTAGTCCACCCTATGGTGAAAGATAAGCTGAGTGGGCCTAGTCCACCCTATGGTGAAAGACAAGGTGAGTGGGCCTAGTCCACCCTATGGTGAAAGATAAGCTGATATGGTGAAAGATAAGCTGAGTGGGCCTAGTCCACCCTATGGTGAAAGACAAGGTGAGTGGGCCTAGTCCACCCTATGGTGAAAGATAAGGTGAGTGGGCCTAGTCCACCCTATGGTGAAAGATAAGGTGAGTGGGTCTAGTCCACCCTATGGTGAAAGATGTGAGTGGGCCTAGTCCAATAATCACAAATGCACATCAAGAATAACATGAAAAACTAAAGATACCATTTCTGTACACGTTACATTAGTTCAACAAGAAAAATGGTTTGCTGCATTGTACAGTAAGAGCAATGCAAATGAGGATTTCAATGAATGAGTTCATGGCTAATTGGGGAGACCTAATCGTTTTTGTCTACATAATATTATCTGCTTTATTCTCAGATGGATTAATAATTTGTCTTAATTAGATTAGTAAAATGAGTAGCATAATTGGTAAACAAAGTATTACTCTTGTTTTATACTATATATATACAGGAGTCTACCTATACAACATCCTGTTTATCAAAGATCTATCACTCACATTGCATGTGACTTGAACGTGTTTCTGCGCCCTCTCACAGGGTCATGGTTCAGTTCAGAGAAATTCAGTTCAAGTTACTTATTAATCATGAGTAGAGGGTACTGCATAACTGTATGCAGAGCATACCTGAACATAAGCACTGACCTAACTCTCCAACCCACCCAGTCTCCCTCGCTTTGTCCTCCCTCTCTTCCATCTTGCTGTCTCTCCGTCTCCCTCCCCCTCAGGCGAGCCGCAAACCTCTTCCACCAGCAGCCATGAGCGAGATCTTCGAAGACACCAAAGACATGGGTGTTCTGATCGGGAAGGGAGGAGTGTATGGACAGGTAAGGGAAGGGAGGAGTGTATGGACAGGTAAGGGAAGGGAGGAGTGTATGGACAGGTATGGGAAGGGAGGAGTGTATGGACAGGTAAGGGAAGGGAGGAGTGTATGGACAGGTAAGGGAAGGGAGGAGTGTATGGACAGGTAAGGGAAGGGAGGAGTGTATGGACAGGTAAGGGATGACAGGGAGGAAGTGTATGGACAGGTAAGGGGAAGGGAGGAGTGTATGGACAGGTAAGGGAAGGGAGGAGTGTATGGACAGGTAAGGGAAGGGAGGAGTGTATGGACAGGAGGGAAGGGAGGAGTGTATGGACAGGTAAGGGAAGGGAGGAGTGTATGGACAGGTAAGGGAGGAGTGTATGGACAGGTAAGGGAAGGGAGGAGTGTATGGACAGGTAAGGGAAGGGAGGAGTGTATGGACAGGTAAGGGAAGGGAGGAGTGTATGGACAGGTAAGGGAAGGGAGGAGTGTATGGACAGGTAAGGGAGGAGTGTATGGACAGGTAAGGGAGGAGTGTATGGACAGGTAGGAGGGAAGGGGAGGGGGTGTATGGACAGGTACAGATCCGGTATGTCTGTCGGCAGGTCAAATGAGTAGCCTAGTTGCGGTGTGAACCAAATGCATCCAGAGAGAATGTAACAAACCAAGTATCAGATCAGTGCATTCAGGTTAAAGTTACTGATAAACCCTGGGAATGTAGCACGGGAGGTCAAAAGGGAGCCTTGCCATTTTCTGTCTTTGAGGTCATAGTGTGCAGTGTTCTGAACATTTGCATATTCAGTTTAGGTAAAGAATGCACAGATCACTGACAGCTTGAGGATTTTTGAAGTGTCACTTGTTGCATGTCTCTCTATGAAAGACTTCCTAAAACCACAGAGATTAGCAATCTATGAACATACCGTTATCTCTTTCCCACTCACATCCTGTCTCTCTCTCTCTCACCCACAGACGTTCCGGATCAAGCCCCCTATGTGTATCACCAGGGACGATGCAGACTTCTTCTTGGCTGTGTTTAACCAGGCCCTACACAACTACATGGAAGATCATCATTAGGATGGCTTTCACCTGGTCACTTCTTTCACATAGATCAAAGGAGGAGGAGGGAACTGGTTTTAGACAATTGAGACAGGCACTTCAATCACCATCTATCTGTCCATCCATGTGAGTAAGATTATTTACTAAGAAAGACTCTGGACTGGAGGACCCTCATCTCTCCCACATGTTGCAGAATATCATCAACACTCAAAGAGTCCTACATACATAATACATGAAGATAGCGTTGATGTAGCCTGACCCCAGGTCTGTTTGTCTTGCATGACCACGATCATTTGGAGTTTGTTTTACAGCACCAACAGATCTGGGAACAGGCTAGCGTTGGCGTGTCAGTCCACTGGATATGAGCACAGCCTTAACCAGAGTTTGATATTGCACCATGCCTTCTGTTAAAATTGACTACATGTAGACACCGGCTGGAATGCGGTTTTAACCAATCAGCATTCAGAATTAGACCCACCCGTTGTATAATGTTAAAATTGGCATGTAGCTAGGCTTTTGAGGGACATAAATTAGTTGATTGTAATAATTTATACAACGGGTGGGTCTAATCCTGAATGCTGATTGGTTAAAACCGCATTCCAGCCAGTGTCTATTCCACAAGTTACCACCGGCTAAATCTATGACGTTAAAATGCCTATTTACTCTGTTCCATCTGACTGCGCAATCCACTGTCTCATCAGCCCAGCCAGGCAATCTATAGCAAACCTGGAGAAGGAAAAACGAAGTGTTTATTTTAATGTGGAGATTTACTAACACCTGTTTGTCTCTGTACTGGAACTCATTTTGCTGTAGGTTTTAATGTGTATATTTTTAAAGGTTTATTGATGTGTTAATTGTGAAAATATTAACTTGTCAAATAAATACATGGTACACCTCTTCACCTACTGCCAGTGAGGTGCATGGACAGACTGGGTCAAAACATGAAATAAAGCCGACCAGTATTTTACTTGTGTGTCAGTCTCTTACAATTTGAGTGCATGTAAAGCCCAATAGATCTTGAGACTTTGGGTAGACAAGTACTTGCTTAGGTATAGATTATTTACATTGAGTGGGGTGGTACAGTTCATATCCGCTGGCTCTTTTCTCATCTTATATGGTCCAATTACATGCCCCTTTTATTTACATGTAAATAGTCTCTTTGAGTAGTAATTGTAAGTAGATTGCGAAACCCTGCATAAATAGATTTTAAGTGAGCCATAAACACTATAGACGTGAAAGATTTATTCATCAGACGTAGCAGCAAATTCAATGAAAGGTTAGTGGTCATACGCACATCCTTAACTTAAGTGCTGGACTAATAAAGACTGCCAGTAAAGAGCAAGAAGGCCCCGCCCACTTAACTCCCAATTCACAGCTTTATTGACAACGTTTAGATCCTAAACGGATCTTCGTCTGGTAAAAAAAAAAAAATGACGAAGATCCGTTTAGGATCGAAACGTTGTCAATAAAGCTGTGAATTGGGAGTTAAGTGGGCGGGGCCTTCTTGCTCTTTACTGCCAAATTCAATTAAACCTTTCTTAGTGTTTATGCAGTATATTTTTTATAAGAAAGAAGTGGAAGCTTTAACACAGAGTCGGATTGTTATTTGAATAAATATAGTGAGCAGCGGCATCACAACAGGAATAACATCCAGACACTGGAGTCCAGTTGCTTTATGTCCCTGACCAGAACAGCTGCAAGACATCAAAGGATCAGTCGACACAAAATGGACGTTGTTGACACAACGCTGAATTCTGCAGCATGTACTTCTGAGCAGGTGCAGTGGCAGCACCTCTACCATGGTAGCATTGGAAGGGTGGAGTAAATACCAGTTGGACTTGGCTCACTTCCTTACATTACCTCTAGGGGGCAACCCTGAGAGGGTTAATAAGGGTGTGGAGGCTGGCCAGACAAAAAGATCCTCCAGAAGCACTTTATCCAGTCTAGCCTGGTGGTCTCATATCTGTTTGTGCTGCAAAACCATCTCCTATGGTCATTTGACAACGACCGTTAAGAGTTGGCTATGCAGGATCACCAGCCAACATCCAGTCCTCCATGACTGGACACATTGATTGTTTTCTAACATGCAAAAAACCTAAAAACAGCAATCAGACAGTCTTTAACGTTTTTAAAAATTCCAGGCCTTCAATGCCATAAGTGGCCTCCTATTATATGAAGTAAGACCGTACACAGTCCCCCCATCTCTACAGCCCAGTGACTCTTTCAGTCAGGCTGGTTTTAGTCTTTGGCACATGTCCCCTCTCCCCCATCATCTGTTCTTCCTCTTCTCGTTCTTGCTCTTCCCTGCGGCGGGCGTACTGCCGCCGTGTGATACAGCTGTAGCGTGTCCCGTCGTCTTCAGGTGGTCAAACAGTTTGTTCCTGGTGGAGAACTCATAGTGACAGGTCACACAGCGCAGGTTCAGCTCCTTCTGGGAGTTTAAAAGACAGTGGAATGGTTCATTAATGAACAACAAAAGCACCTGTGCATTTAAGCAGTCTCAAACAAGGTCATTAAATAATTGTACTACTTTTCAATTAAGGGCAGCCAGTTCCGGTTAGTACAAACCCTTCCTGGATTGATTAACCAATGAAGGACCAGTAGAGGTGGACGGTACAAACCTCTGCTCCTCCTTGCTCCACTCCTCCTCCCTGTGGTTGGCCATTCTTTTTGCAGTCCTTTCCTTCACTCCTCTTCCCCTTAGTCTTTCCAGAGCTGATGAAGAAAAAAAAAGTTACAAGTCAGAATGCATGAATATACCTGTATAGTAGCTAATGATTATATCAGTACTGCTCTAGCATGGTCCCAGGTCGGTTTCTGCTGTCTTGCCAACTCAGGACAGCACAAACCGATCTAGGACCAGGCTAGTGATGCATTGCTTTATCCTAAATACTGTAAATTCCATCCCGTCACTAGTTTTGATAGAAGATGGGGGCAGGTCAGGTCACCTCTTTGGTTCGGTGGCTGTGAGGTCTTCCTCCTGCTGTCCGTCCTCTGTTGGGTCCTCACAGGGTTTGTCCGCAGCTGTCTGCCGGGGGTCTGCGGCAGGCTGGGTGTCCTCTGCCTCACCGCTGGTCTGTGTTGATGGAGGGCTCTCTGGGCTGTTGTCTGTGGGGGTGTCTTTAGGGGTGGAGGTGGGCTCTGAGGCCGCGTCCTTGTCTACCTCTTCTGTGGGGCTCCGCCCATTTTTCTGTAGTCTCTTTTTCTTCTTCTGCCTTTTAGACAGCCTGGACGTTAAAATAACTTTATTATTCTACCACAGCCTGGACGTTAAAATAACTTTATTATTCTACCACAGCCTGGACGTTAAAATAACGTTATTAATCTACCACTGCTTTTTAGACAGCCTGGAAGTTCAAATAACATTATTAATATACCAGTTTGTATTTGGAAAACATACACAGTGTACAAGACATTACGAATACCTGCTCTTCCCATGACAGACTGACCAGGTGAATCCAGGTGAAAGCTATGATCCCTTATTGATGTCACTTGTGGGGATCCTAGAGCAAAACATGTACATTTTACTCTAGGAAGCCCACATGAACGTGTTCACGAGAGACCTACCTTTCCATAGAGGGGTCATATTAGCGTGTAGCTAATGTTCGGACGCTACAGACAGAAGTTGGCAGATCGGCTATATCAACTTCAGACGAGTCCCGTGACGTGTGTGGGGGTCATAGAGCAAAACTGTGAACACCGTGTTCGTGAGAGTCATCTTTCCATAGTTCGTACACCCCATCGTTTGGACGCTACAGACATTTTCTTGAGAAGACAGATTTCCGGGGGGGTCTCATGGTCTGACAAACACCGCTCTAGCTCTGCCACCTTTCACGCGGAAGGGCAACGTCGGCAGACAGAGATATTTGGGCTGCGTCTCAATCTTAAACTGACAGATTTTGATGGGGATTTTATTTACTATGTTAATTAGATTGACTCAATATTAAGGTGTTCCTAATGTTTTGTACACTCAGTGTATTCTATAATGGCAAATTGTCCTATAGCAACAGCAACATCCAGGTAGTTTCTCATATGTTGGATGGAGAAAATACCATATCTTAGATTAACTTACTTTTGTTTTGGAGCTTCTTCTAGTTCTTCATCCTCCTCTTCCTCATGCTCATCCTTCAGACAGAGGGCGTCATCCTCTTCTTCCAGTTGTTGCCGTAGTAACGCCACCATCTCTCTATGTTTCTTTGACTTCTCGTGATTCTTCATTCTGCGCAAACAAGAACAACACGCTTTAGTGATGAACTGAACTCAGTCCTCCCTCAGGTAAACCGGGTTGTGTTCATTAGGCACCAAAAGGAAGAATACTGACTGGGACTACCTGGATTTGACCAGTAAGACATTTTCATTTCGTTTTCCAATGCAGACTGCTTTACAACGTTTTCCATTGTGCCCCCTAATGAACACGACCTCACTACTTACGCTTTGTCTGATTTGAAGGATTTGTCACATGCAGGGCAGTACAGGTCGTCATAATAGTCATCCATGAGTTCCTCTGTCTCATCTTTCTGTTCATCTGGGGAGAACAGATGTGTTACATTGAGATTGCTCTTCTCATACACAACAACAAACACACATAAACCAAATGTAAAACGCTTTGAGATCTGGTGGTAAAAGAACGCACCCCCAGTTAAACGTGACATGGCAAACAACTATAAATGCAATCCATTCTTGCCATTACTACTCACAGAGTCCTACTCATGCAGAAGCTACAGTAGACTAAGATAATATGCCTGCTACCGTATGCAGAAATATCTAGCCCTTCTCAGAGAGTTGGCGTTTCCTCAGTCTGAGACCGGAGTTACTACGTGAGAGGTCTGCTCTGTACTGACCCCCTCTTCCCTGGTCCTCCTCCTCGCTCGATGACGCGTCTCCAAACTCCTTTCCGTACCGAGCCTCCATCTGCTGTAGCTCCTTCTCCATCTCAGACATGGCTACCCAGCTCTGCTCCTTGTAGTCCTCCGCCAGTCTGGGAGAGGAAATGTTACATGTAGCATGTCTGAGTGGATCAGTTTAAGGAAAGGCACAGATTTGCTACTTTCTTTACATCATAGGTGGTTATTTTAACACAAGTATATAGATCAGTGATTCTGCGCAGTCCGACTGCAATGTAGTCAGCAACACTCGCTTGGCATGTGAAAGCTTCCTTTTTTTTGAAGAGGCATATGTTCGACATATCATATTTCTATGTGAACTCACTTGGCCTGGGACAGTTTCTGCTTGCGTCGTAGCTCATCCACCTTCTTGGCCTTCTCAGCGTTCTGCTCCTCCACCAGCTTCTTGTGGGCCTGCACCCTCTTGTCGCGCTTACGCACAAACGCCACCAGCTGACGCACTAGCTCGCTGCGCTCCTTCCTGGCCTTGTCTCTGACCTTAGAAGAACAACAATACTTTATGATCCATTTCCTTTCAGATCTGTTGTGTTGAAAGAACGGCGCTGGTTCTTTATCAAACGGCTCATATTTAATCGAGGTCTCACTTCCTAACATTTGTGAGCATAACAAAACATTCAGTTAGATTTGCCAATCTTCAGTGGCTCATACCACACATATGAACTACATATGCACTGGCTGAATAGGAACACAACATATGCACTTAGAATACAATAGCCTTGCTCAAGGGCACAACGGCAGGAGATGGGAGTTCAGTTCCATTCCCATTTTTGCGTCGCCCCGGCCCAGGGCTTGACCCAGCAACCTTCTGGCTGCTGGTCCACCTCTCTAAGGCTACTGCTTCACTGTAAGTGCTTAAAGGCCATAAAAGCATAACATAACAGTACCTTCTTGTTCTCCTTCTCCATGGCCCTCTTCTCCCAGCGGTTGGAGGCCTGCCTCGTGTCATAGTCCTCCTTCCAAGCAAACTTCTTCCGCGTGCAGAAGCTCTGCCAGTAGGCGTAGAAGAGGTGAACCTGGGGGAGGAAGAAGCAGAGAGGTATAGACAATGATTATATCTCAGGGAGCAGACAGGTACAGTACAGGAGATGGATATAGGCTTTAGTGTGGAGCTGCTAAACCAGTGGGAAAACTACAGCCCTTTAAGGATTTATATATACAAATATTTGTTTCTTTTTTTTTTTAAATCTGTGCGGCCCTGCGCTTAATTTTGATATCCCAATGCGGCTCTCGAGCCAAAAAGTTTACCCACAGACAGACAGTGTTTTATGAACTGGAGTCTATGAAAAAAAACAGTTTGCCCACCCCTGTGCTAAACCTTATAGAATTATATGATGTATCCATTTAATCATCAATTTATCCATCATCATGACACAATGACCACTGTGACTTATATCATGATATAAACCAATGTGCAAAATGTCCAAATGGTAGAGACCGACCATACAAATGTTATTTCACAGAAATCAAAAGTGCAATCAACTCCGTCTATAGAACCCAGAGAAAATACCATTATGAGATTAAGCGAGAGCACAGAATGTAATATATTAACCATGAATAGAAGCATAGGGGAAAAAAGCATTAACCATGCTGAAGCATAGACCGAGGGAGAATCGCAATACTAAGCTTGTCAATGACATTGGCCATTTAAGCAGACTCTACAGAACTGACCACAACTGACCTTACGCAGATAGACACTGTTACTGCAAGTAACTGCCCACGGCTCAATTCACTCCAGAACACTATCAGCATTGATCGGGGGCTGATCACAAAAGTTGATGAAGTGTGTGTATTTGTGTATGTGTATCTGTGTGTTTAACAAGGGCAGACGTTACCGTGTCATAGTCACTCTGAGAGTCTCCAAACGAAGGGAACTCCTCTTCTTCCTCCTCCTCCTCTTTACTGTGCTCCGTCTCTTCTGTAGTTATGGACTCAAACAGGTTCCTGTACACTGTGTAGAAACCCTGAGAAAAGGAGAGGGGAAACAACTTGTTTATATTTTACCAGGTTGTCCCATTGAAAAAAAAGGGAGCCCTGTATAGAGAGGATCCAATCCCTTTAGTGAATAAATCCCCATTTTCTCCACAGCAAACAATACACTGTAACAATAATTATTATACTGTAGCAAACCCCCTGTTATACACGTGTACTGTTACATTTCTACATGCACAAAGTGAGACTGTGCTGAGCTGTGACCTTGGAGGCTGAGTGTGGATTATTTTGTCAGAGTACTACTCTACTTGTAGTAACAATACTCTGCTGCCCTCTACCTGGTAGTAAATAACAATACTCTGCTGCCCTCTGCTGGTAGTAAATAACAATACTCTGCTGCCCTCTGCTGGTAGTACCTAACAGGGACGGCATCTGATGGGGGTGGGGTCCACAAAAAATGTGAAATCATTACATTTTAGTCATTTAGCAGACGCTCTTATCCAGAGCGACTTACAGTTAGTAAATCATGAGGGGCCGCAGTTGCTCCCCACTGACAGAGGAGATAGAGATGCTCCCTGACTGTCACACTCACCTCCTCATCATCCCCGTAACCAGAGTAACAGGTGACAGTGAAGAACTGGACAAGGTCAACACTTTCATCAGCATACTTCCCGCTGACCCCGCCTTTCAGGAGAGCCTCTCTGTGGTTATCATACCTGGAGACAGGAGTTGAGAAGCACAGTATTAGCATTACTATAGCTCTTGAGTCTTCCTAAATGAGTGTTTCCCCAATTCCTTGCATTCTCTCTCCTCCTTCAAATGCATTGGAGGAGAAGGTCCAAGGGCTGGAACCTTCAACCTTCTTTTTCAATGCATTTTGACAGGAGGCACAATGCAAGGAATCAAGGAAAGACAAAGAGCTGGTACACTGGTCATCTTGGACACTGCAAACAATTTAATGGATCCCCCACCAACATCTCGGTCAAAAGACCTTCATTACTTTGGATAATGAGGATGAAGATGATTCTCACCAGGCTCTCTCCTGTGGGTCGCTCAGGACTTCATAGGCTGCCTGGATCAGTTTGAACTGCTCAGCTGCCTCATCTGCATTGTCCAAGTTCTTATCTGGAAATGGAATTAAGATGTTCAAACAACAATACTGTTAAAAAGGTACACACATCATATTTTTGGTGAAGAGAGAACATATAAGACACCAGTGGAAAAGCAGAGCGAACTAACTGGTGGTAGTGCACTAGCAGTAGTTATCTTGTTCTACTTTTCAGTCTCCCACACCATCAATTTGATTACAGTTTAGCTAGCAATGTGTCACTGGCCGTGGCCTCTGATCAGTGAGCTAACAGCTACCGTTAGCCGGCTAATGTAGCTAACTAACTAAACGGCAACAACGTTTACTGTACCTGGATGCCATCTCAGGGCTAATTTCCGATAGACCTTCTTCATATCATCATCAGTCGCGTCCCTTTTGACACCCAATACCTCGTAATGACACTTCATTTTGAGTTGAGCTGGTTCTGCTAGCTGAAATCCACACGATTTGGCCTGTTGCTAATGTTAGCTAGCTAAAACGCTAAGCTAACAGCTTTCGCTGTCCTCAAAACAGGAAAACTAAGTACAGCAGTAACCTAATGATATGAATAACAGTGGACAGATCTATAAAGAAATTTAATTTTCATTCTACTTAAAAATGCATAGGTTGTCCTTGTATCGCAGCTTGAACATCACCGCACATCGTGGACTCGCTTCAACACTGCCGGTGATTACGCGCTTAAATATGACGTAATTTATAACGGACAGTCTTTTCTTAAAGAAAAAGGTCCTAAAGAAAACTGTGGTAAACTTATTTTCTGTTGATTTTGAATATGACCAAAAAAAGAAGTGTGAAAGTGACAGCAACAATTCTTAACATTTTAAATTGCTGTGCTTATTTGGATCCCCATTAGCTTTTGCAGAGGCAGCAGGTATTCTTCCTGGGGTCTACAAAAAATACAAAACATGACCAGTAACAAAACACTGATAGACAAGGCCAGTCACGCAATGCAACAATATATAAACAATACAACAACAAAAATGATGTGTGTCTGTGTGTCCCCTCACAGTCCCCACCACTCCATGAGATGTTTAATCTTTTTTTAAAGGTAATTTTGCTGTTTGCTTGAGTAATTGGAGATGGAAGGGAGTTGCATGCGATCATGGCTCTGTATAATACTGTGCGTTGCAGTGAATTCGTTTAGGAATTGGGGACTATGAAGAGACCCCTGGTGGCAAGTCTTTTGGGGTATGTATGGGTGTCTGAGCTGAATGATTATGCAGAATTTTCACTACAGTAATACTTCTCAAAAACTAGAAGAGAAGCAATTAATCTCTCGTCAACCCTCAACCAGGCTCTGTCGTAGCCGGCCGCGACCGGGAGACCCATGGGTCGGCACGCACAATTGGCCCAGCGTCGTCCAGGGTAGGGAATGGCCGGCAGGGGATGTAGCTCAGTTGGTAGAGCATGGCGTTTGCAACGCCAGGGTTGTGGGTTCGATAAAAAAATAATGTATGCACTAACTGTAAGTCGCTCTGGATAAGAGCATCTGCTAAATGACTAAAAATGTTTTTTTTTAAATGAAAGACTGGCATGCATGCATGTTGTTGATGTTAGTTATGTATGTGCAGTTAAGGGCAAGCCTGCACTAAACAAAGACTAAAATCTAACAATACAGCGCCAACTATCATCTTAATATCCATTTATTTTAACCAATAATCTGAAATCCGAGTCAGTGCAGTACAAGTTGAGTGCCCTTCTCTATTTGAATGCTGAATGTCAGTAGTTACCTTCTCTGAAAAACAGCATTGTATTTTGTCAAAGAATTATCTCCATCAGTTTACTAAGAACAGGCAGCAAACTGATTGGGCGGATGTTAGAGCCAGCAAAGGGTACTTTACTATTATTTAGGCAGTGGAATTACTTTAGCTTCCTTTCACGCATGTGGACACACACACTCCTTTAGGCTTTGGTTAAAGATATAGCAAATAGGGGTGGCAACATCTCTGTTAGTGCTTTGACATGGATATTATAACTGTAGATTCGCAATCAATATTTACAAGGCTGGTCAAGTTACTAATGCACGTATCAAGTCAAAGGAGGTTCAGTCATTGGTAAATCAATCTGACAACTTCTGCAATGAACAGGAGAAATAAACAATACTACTAAATCAAGACTATTAAAAAAGGTCCAAATATGTTTATTTCATAACCGTGAGAAAAGCTGGAGCATAACAGAAGTCACATAAAGCTGCTTGAGTTCTTTTTTTGCAGCTGAAACATATAAAAATGAAACACAAATTACATATTTTGAGAGTTTCACAGGCTGCAGACTTCATGGTCGACCCAATCCTCCCAGTTTATTGGCAGCCAAATTTCCCAATTCGTTTTTCCCCCGATTCGTTGAAACGCATTGATGATTCAATGTCACTCCCTTCAAACTTCTCCTTTGTGTTTTGGAGAGACGACATGGAATTGAGGAAAGACAAATTGACAAAGAACCAATGTAATCACTTTTCAGATGACCCAACAAACCAACCAGTCTCTAGCCTAACGCTTCTGCATCCTCTGTCGTTTGAAAGCCTTGTGTTTGTTCTTCTTCACTACTTTAGCTGCGGGAGCCTCCAGCTCAATGTGGACTGGCCTCTCCTCAGCTGGCGTGGCAAACACGTCGTCTGTCACGTCCCTGGTCACCTCCTCCTTGTTCTCCGTCCTCTTCAGCTTCTGGAGCTCCTTGACCATCTGTTTCTCTCTCAGCTTGGAGGCGGTGGCCATGCGGATCAGACGCCGGTGCTGTGGGGAGATAGAGACAACAATGAATGACTCAAGAAAGACCATGACTAATCATTGTCCCAGTCTCAATATAAGTCATCAGATGCCCGGTGCTGTGGGGAGGGGAGACAGAACAACAATGAACCAATCTGATCTAGAAACATTAACCATAATTCATGACCGCCCCATCACCAACAGTACATTGTCTCAATAAGTGATCAGTCACCGGTGCTATGCGGAGAGGGAGACAGATAACAATGAACTATGGCTTTACCTACTGAAGATAAAGGTTAAATCTACCGGTGATGTCGGGAGGGGAGTCCACTAGGATTCACATGAAATATTACCGTGTTCGGAGACTCGAAGTGTGGGTTCTCGAAGAGAGTGGGGCCGCCGAAGCTCCCCTGGAATATTTTGATGAGGTTCAGGACGAAGCGAGGTCCAATTTCTACCATCGATGCATCTTCCTCAATGATCTGTGGGACACAGAAATAAATCAAAACATATGTTGTGCTAATAACTTTGGCCATTCAGGAACATTACTTCTAAATCAAAATCAGGGAATGTGTTAATAAAAAGGGCCGTTAGAAATGATCAGAGAATATTATATTACACATAAGTTGACCACATACTGTATAATGGAAAGGGGAGAAAGTTAGTGAAACTCACCTGATAGTTTCTGAACCATATCCTGTTGTCTGTCACGGTGAACGTGAAGACGTGGTCCACAAAGGGCTGGCTCCTGGGGTGGTACTGGGGAGTCGAAAATGTCTACAAAAACAACAACGCAAGAACTCGCTTCTGAACTGATCACAACATCACAAGAAAAGCAAAACAACTAATAATGATAATTGTATTAGATATTTTTTTGCAGTAATGATAACGAAACTAACCTGGATAAAGAGCTCCTTCAGCAGTGCATAATGGGGCTCCTTGTCAAATTGCTGTTGGGTTGAGAATACCAGTTCATGAAATAGTATTCCCATACATCTTGATGGTGAGGCCCATGTGAAGTTAGTTTCAAGAGTATCAGACTCAGATTAGGATATTCTCAGAGCATTTTATTCCAGGACTAGGCATAATCTGTGTCTGGGAATCATGTTGCTGTTGACCGAAACGGCAATACTCACAGGATCAAACGACAGCAGTGGTCTGGATCCCTTCAGACAGTTCCCTGTCATTTTGAGTTCGGCGAGCGTGTGGACTACAGGAGGAGTAAAAAAAGGGAGAAATGACCACAGACTTTCAGAGAGCATCAATCATTATTCTATTCCATTTTAGTCATTTAGCAGACGCTCTTATCCAGAGCAATTAGGGTTAAGTGCCTTGCTCAAGGGCAGAGATTTTTCATCTAGTCAGCTCAGGTATTTCGGTTACTAGCCCAACGCTGGACCACCAGCTGTGTTACCACTGTTACTTGATTGAGACAAAATGCTAAATGTAGTCTATTCATGTCATTTCACACAAAACTCAGGCAATGACACTCACCATTCTGAACCAAGAACTTTGCAGATGGCCCGTGGGGAACATTTGCAACCCTATACAAAAGAAAGTGACTTAAATCATTACATTGTCAAGTGACAGGAAGCCATGTCAGGGGGACAGGAATAGAATGCTTGTGTGTGATTGGCCGCTGTTAACTTGACACTCACCACATGTACAGATCCTGCTTCTTCTTTGCTTCAAAGAATATGCATTTGTTGCAGTTCTTGATTTCACACACCTCGTTAATGACGAAGAGTTTGTCCTTTCTGTCCATTTTTGTGTCTGCAAGAGTAAGATCAAGTCTCCAGGGTTATACCTAACTACATACATTGATCAATTTCACCAAACCACAAAAAAAAAAACATTTAAAAAAACATGTAAAAAGGGAACAAACTGAACCAGTATCTGGGCAGAACAAACTGAACCAATATCTGGGCAGAACAAACTGAACCAGTGTCTGGGATGAGGAGATTAATATATAAAAGTAGTCTCAGTTAGCCCAGTTAGCTACCATTCATTTTCCCATTAGACAGCTCTGCAAGCATTATGTCAAAATACGTTCGTTAATCACAAAATATGGAGTTTGGCTGAGCAACTATCGTCATTTACTGTTATCATGCAAAAGGTCTTAATATATATATATTTTTACAAGCAACTGAAAACATTTGTCTGGAAATAATATAGTTTTTGACCAAATCCACCTCGTCGGCACCTCCAATAGAAATCACTCATTCCTTTCACGCACAGGTCGGCTTAGCCCTTGATCACGACTCAGTTCCATTACAAAACACAGAAGTCATTGGACGAAAGGGTCTTCTGTACGGGGGAGTTTCGTTAAGCGCCCCGACGCTCAGTCTGAACATTAACAAGCATCGCCTGCGGTTTAGGAAGCATAAGGACCGTATTGTTCATATTAGCAATGAATACTTTTCAAAAGACAAAAAGGTTACGTTGATACACACCTTTATAGGGTTAGTGTTCCCACACGGCCACATCTCCATGTTACAGCACGTGTTTACAGAAGACAGACGGAAGACAGAGGGACCACCCGTGCTAATTTAGCTATCTAGCATGCTCCGAAAACCTGTCTGTAATTGAAGATCGTCAGAAATATTATTGACTGCAACTGTGATAAAGCTGCGCAACTGTGTATATTTCGCATTTGTGAAATTATTTCGATGCGATATGAAAGTAAATGCCTTTATGTTTCTAGAACCATATTGCAATTTTGAAACGAATCATGTTTAGACAGATTATTTGGCTGCCAGAGCCAGTCTACCTCTGAAGAAATTATATAAAGTTCCTTGGACCTTAATGAGTAACCATAGGCTCCTTAAGAGTACATCTTGGGCTAAGGTCAGCTGATCCAGCAGCAGTACAGTGTCCCGAAAGATCATTGATTTTATCACCTCCAACAGTGTATGAACGTCATACCCAAACCCGTACTACACACAAGGCAATAATATTTCATGTAAGTAGACAATATAGTCTGTTTTTACAGTGATCTTTCCAAAGAGGTGGTCAAAAACACATGGCCACTTGGTCAAAAACAATACATTTTTATTTAAACCTTTTTTGGAAGTATACTGAACATTAAAAATATTAAAAACAACATGTAAAGTGTTGGTCCTATGTTTCATGACCTGAAATAAAATACATTTTCCATACGCACAACAGGCTTATTTCTCTCAAATGTGACTGCAGGAATGTCCAACATAGAACTGAACGGTCCTTTCTGTACCATAAGCCGCCTCCAACTTCGTTTTAGAGAATTTGGCAGTATGTCCAACCGGCCCCACAACCGCAGACCACGTGTAACCACGCCAGCCCTGGACCGCCACTTCTGGCTTCTTCACCTGCAGGATCTTCTGAGACCAGCCACCCGGACAGCTGATGAAACTGAGGATTATTTCGGTCTATAATAAAGCCCTTTTGTGGGGGAAAAAAACTAATTCTGATTGGTTGTGCCTGGCTCCCTAGTGGGTGGGCCTGGCTCCCAAGTGGAAGGGCCTATACCTTCCCAGGCCCACCCATGGCTGCGCCCCTTCCCAGTCATGTGAAATCCATAGATTAGGGCTTAATGAATTTATTTTAATTGACTGATTTCCTCATATGAACTCTAACTCAGTAAAATCGTTGAAATTGTTGCATGTTGTGTTTATATTTTTGTTCAGTATACATACCGTGCGTGACAGGAGTACATTTTGTTAGCTGCTCAGCGAAACTACATATTTGATGAGTAATTAACGTATTTTGATATTATGCTTGCAGAGAGGTCTACAGTTGTCTGCCCACATATTGGTTCAGGAACAAACCTGCTTTCGTGTGTGGCATCATCGTCCTGAGGTCCTGCATCAAGTGCCGTGTTCTGAAGTTGATGCCTCTCGAAGAGAACACAAGAACTCGCTCTTTGTTTCTCCACTTACCCTGGAAGACAAATCAATTTAAACAACACATTGTTTCATAGATGATAGCTACAGTCATGTAACGTTACAGTCCATGTTGTTTTGTCGCTGTTTTTCTACAAGACAGACAAATCACTAACGTTTGCTAGCTAACTTTACAAGCCAACGAACAGTTAGCTTAGCTTACGTTAACTGGCTAGCAATTTCATGTTTGACGCGCACTTACCATTGACACGGGTGCTGGGACGCTGATTTCCTTGTTCTGTTTCGTCTCTGTAGTTTGAGGTTTATTTCCATTTTCTACTAATTTAACTTTCTTTGCTTTTCCACCTGGACCCTTTCCTCCACGTTTTCTCTTGAGCGCCGACATTTTGGAGATTTGTGACGCGCAGGCGCACAACCGTAAGAACAGAGCGAGGAAAACGCACGTGTGAGCAGGACAAACATTTAAAACTGGCGCCACCTGGCGTCGCGGAGTTGTATTGCGAGAACAGACGAGATGCTGCTTGTCGAAAGTGATAGCGCCAGTTTTAGTGGTAGCGCATTTACATTTATTGTCAAAACTAAGATGTTAAAAAAAATATCAAAAGTGAAGGAATATTTTGATTATAGAAATATTGTTCCAAGTTCCTTGTAAACTTCCAAACAACGGGAGAGCAGCATTAATTCATTGAAAACAAACCAGAAAACAAATTGAGAGAAACTATTAGCAATTAATTATTTTCACTTTAAAATGAACATGTACCAGAGTCAACACTACTTACAAATAACACAGTCAAGAAATACAGTCCAAATAACAGGGCCAAGTGAAAAATGCAAGTATTTCTTTAGAATAACACCTAAAAGATTTGAGCCTCGTATTCTTGTACAAAAATAATCCTATTCTCACTACTCCTCTTCCACTTCCTCATCCGGACAGCAGTAGTATTCTACGAAGCAGATCTGTCCGTCATCATTCCTGACCAAGTACTGCAAAGACAGGAACCCTCGGCCGTCTGTCCTCACCGAGACCTTACAGGATAGAGCCAGGGCCTTGGTGGACGGCTTCAGTAGAGACATCTTGTACCTGACAGAGGACATAAGCAAAGTGACAATCCAGTTAGCATGTACTTCACAACCATAATTATCCCAGTGAAAGCCGTACCCTCAAAGCGTGGCCGACAAGCAAAAATATAAATAATTTAGTAAATGCATTCCATGTTCATTTCTTGATTTCTAGGAAATGCAGGAATCTGTAGTAGCACACTTCCTGCATATCCAAATCCATGATGGTCATTCAGTATATAGAAGATGAATGTACCTGTTACTCTGAGTCTTTGTGCACTGAAACAGCTCCATCATGTCAGAATCCTTTGGGTAATCATAATGGGCATTCCCAGAATTCCCAAAGGTAGACAACCTAAATATGAAAACAATAATTTATTTATTTTTTATTTTATTTTTTGTCATTTAGGGCAGACGCTCTTATCCAGAGCGACTTACGGAGCAATTTGGTTAAGTTCCTTGCTCAAGGGCACATCGACAGATTTTTCACCTAGTCGGCTCGGGATTAGAACCATCGACCCTTCGGTTACTGGCACAACGCTCTTACCCACTAAGCTACCTGCCACCACAGGTAGCTTAGTGGGTAAGATAAAAAGAAGAAAGGTTAACAATGGCACGATGATACTCTGTAACCATCATACTGTGGCACGATGATACTCTGTAACCATCATACTGTGGCCGTAATGACCTTAGTAACCACCCAGCGAACTTGTCAAGAGTATCCAGCCTTTTGGTGTAATGGCCAAAAGGTCTTGGACGGACTGCTGCAGACAGAGACTACAGTTAAGAGTCCTGAATTCGCTACAATACAATGCCATTTTGAGATTTTCTCATTCAAAAACACACACAATTTGTTTAGTAGAAAACAAAACAAGTATTGCACCTAAAGTATGGCTGACTGGGAGACATGGTGATCTGCAGGACCTCGCTGGTCATGTCCAGCTCAGAGAAGGCCTCCTTCAGACTCTCTGACTGCAGGATGACTTTATTAGTCACATTGGTGCTGCAGAACTCAAAGTCTATAGGCTCGTCTGGCTCCTGGGTGTTGATCTTACACACCGTCACCACACCACACTCCTCTAGGAACAGGGTCAGGGGGTAGCCATAGCCGTTGTAGCACATCCGCAAGGCAGTGGCCACTCCTGTAGACACAAGACATGTCAGTTACTCCCAGTAGCTTTGATAGTTTTTTAGTCTGACATTTTAGAAAGAAAGGTGTGTGCGTGTGTGTGTGACTTTCTCCTACAATAAAAAGCTGATGATTTTATTAAGGTTAAAATAATGGCGTTTTGGCCTGAAAAGTCTTCATCACATTGGTTTTTAATCACCCAGGAGAAATCTGAAAGGATATCAAGTGGACAGTCTTCTTCATTACCTGGTACTGTGCTTCCCCCGAAGATGGTGAGACAGTCCAGAAGAACGGTCAGGTTGACCTGAAACCCCACTGAGTCCTCTCTGATGGTAAACTCCTGGAAGATCTCAGCCTGGAAAAGAATGACAACATTAACGAGACATGAGAACACAACCCATCTAAAGGTTAATGACTCAGAATGTGTGTATTGATATCCCTGCACTAACCTGAATGAAGGCATTGGCTTGCAGACATTTAGAGTCCTCCACAGTGACTTTCAACCCGTTTGGTGTGGCATTGAAGATTGCATGATCTTTGAAGGTGATGGCTTTCAAGATGTTGGACAGATTCCTGACATTGTCCAGACTAGCTACAAGGACGTAGTTGTCATCTCCCGTCTGAGACTGAGTAGACAAGGGCATTTTCTATCTGAAATAAACAAAATCAACAACAATCAAAGGAGGAAAACTAGGTAGATGAAGAGTGAAATCAAGATTAGCTAAAGTTAACATAGCTAGCCATTCTAGCTGTCAGCCCACTTCAGCCGTCTAACGTTTAGATAAATCTGATCTGCCAGCGTTAACTTTATATAACCAGTAACGCTGTCACACTCACGCAATTGTCAACGGTTTTAGAAGATTAATCTTGATATATCAAAGTCTGTTGACGTTTTTGAAGAAACGCGCCATCTGAGATTTCTAAACAACACCTTATTTCCGGGTGTTCTTCTTCGGTGGTGTATGCCCTGTCTCAAAGCCAATTACAATATTATTAACGATAGCACTCTTTCTGCTTGGAGGTGTTTTAGCAACATTGTTTTCCAGGCAGTACACTGTCCAATATTGAGGTGTGTAGGCCTACACAAAAATAAACACATAGTATATAGAAACAAAATATAATCAGTGGTATAAAGTACTTAAGTAAAAATACTTTAAAGTACTACTCAATACGTTTTTTTGGGTATGTGTACTTTACTTTTATATTTTTGACAACTTTTACTTTTACTCCACTACATTCCTAAAGAAAATAATGTACTTTTTTACTTCATACATTTTCCCTGAGACCCAAAAGTACTCTTTACATTTCGAAAGCTTAGCAGGACAGGAAAATGGTCCAATTCACACACTTATCAAGAGAGCATCTCTGGTCATCCCTACTGCCTCTGAACTGGCAGACTCACTAAACACAAATGCTTAGTTTGTAAATTATTGTGTAAGTGTTGGAGTGTGCCCCTAGCTATCTGTATTTCAAAAATTAACAAATAAAATAATTCAGTCTGATTTGCTTAATATAAGGAATGTGAAATGATTGATACTTTTACTTTTGATACTTAAGTATATTTAAAACCAAATACTTTTAGACTTGGTATTTTACTGGGTGACTCACTTTTATTTGAGTAATTTTCTATTAAGGTACAGTACCAGTCAAAAGTTTGGACACACCTACTCATTCAAGGTTTTTACTTTATTTTTACTATTTTCTACATTATATAATAATAGTGAAGACATCGAAACTATGAAATAACACATATGGAATCATGTAGTCACCAAAAAAGTGTTAAACAAATCAACATATATTTTATATTTGAGATTCTTCAAATAGCCACCCTTTGCCTTAATGACAGCTTTGCACACTCTTGGCATTCTCTCAACCAGCTGTAATTCTTCTCAAAACTTTTTTTATTATTATTTTTTAAACTTTTATATAAAAATAAATGCACTGTTGGTTAAGGGCTGTAAGTAAGCATTTCACTGTAATGGCTGCACCTGTTGTATTCGGCGCATGTGGCCAATACAATTTGATTTGATTTGATTAACAGGTGTGACTTCTTAAAAGTTAATTTGTGGAATTTCTTTCCTTCTTAATGCGTTTGAGCCAATCAGGTAGGGGTGGTATACAGATGTTAGCCATATTTGGTAAAAGACCAAGTCCATATTATGGCAAGAACAGCTCAAATAAGCAAAGAGAAATGACAGTCCATCATTACTTTAAGACATGAAGGTCAGTCAATCTGGAAAATGTCAAGAACTTTGAAAGTTTCTTCAAGTGCAGTCGCAAAAACCATCAAGCGCTATGATGAAACTGGCTCTCATGAGGACCGCCACAGGAAAGGAAGAAGCAGAGTTACCTCTGCTGCAGAGGATAAGTTCATTAGAAATCAGCAATTAACTGGGCCTCAGATTGCAGCCCAAATAAATGCTTCACAGAGTTCAAGTAACAGACATCTCAACATCAACTGTTCAGAGGAGACTGCGTGAATCAGGCCTTCATTGTCTAATTACTGCAAAGAAACCACTACTAAAGGACACCAATAATAATAAGAGACTTGCTTGGGCCAAGAAACACGAGCAATGGACATTAGACTGGTGGAAATCTGTCCTTTGGTCTGATGAGTCCAAATTTGAGATTTTTGGTTCCAACCGCCGTGTCTTTGTGAGATGTGGAGTAGGTGAACGGATGATCTCTGCATGTGTGGTTCCCATCGTGAAGCATGGAGGAGGTGGTGTGAGGGTGTGGGGGTGCTTTGCTGGTGACATTGTCTGTGATTTATTTAGAATTCAAGGCACACTTAACCAGCATGGCTACCACAGCATTCTGCAGCGATACGCCATCCCATCTGGTTTGCGCTTAGTGGTACTATCATTAGTTTTTCAACAGGACAATGACCCAAAACACACCTCCAGGCTGCATCAGATGACCTGGCCTCCACAATCACCCGACCTCAACCTAATTGAGATGGTTTGGGATGAGTTGGACCGCAGAGTGAAGGAAAAGCAGCCAACAAGTGCTCAGCATTTGTGGGAACTCCTTCAAGACTGTTGGAAAAGCATTCCAGGTGACTACCTCATGAAGCGAGAGAATGCCAAGAGTGTGCAAAGCTGCTTAAAAACAAAGGTGTCATTGTACGCTGATGATTCATGTTTTCTTTTAAATCCACAACTAGAATCCCTCCACAGCCTCATAGAGGATCTAGATACATTTTCTAACCACTCTGGATTACAACCAAATTATGACAAATGTACTATATTACGTATTGGATCACTAAAAAATACAATTTTTACATTACCATGTAGTTTACCAATAAAATGGTCTGATGGTGATGTGGATATACTCAGAATACATATCCCAAATGAAATAAATGATCTTTACTTCAATCAATTTTAATAGAAAGTTAGCAAAAATAGAAAAGATCTTGCTACCATGAAAAGGTAAATACCTGTCAATTTGTGGAAAAATCACCCAGATTAATTCTTTAGTATTATCCCAATTTACCTATTTGCTTATGGTCTTGCGAACAGTTTTTTAAATTATATGAGAAAAAAATATTCCATTTTATTTGGAACGGCAAGCTAGACAAAATTAAACGGGCCTATTTATATAAAGAATATGAATTCTGAGGACAGAAATGATTAAATATTAAAGGATTAGACCTATCACTAAAAGCTTCAGTCATACAAAAGTTATACTTAAATCCGAACTGGTTCTCTAGCAAATTAGTAAGATTGTCTCACCCAATGTTCAAGAATGGCCTTTTTCCCTTTATTCAGATTACAACCTCTCACTTTCAGTTATTTGAAAAGGAAATTATCTCCCAAATATCACTATTTATAAAACAAGCCATAGAAAGTTGGTTGCAATTTCAATTTAATCCTCCAGAAACGACAGAACAAATAATGCAACAAATATTGTGGTTAAACTCAAATATACTAATTGACCTTTTTTTTGTTGACAAAATGTTTAAAAAAGGTATAATCTTTGTAAATGTAGTGTCTAAACAGTTTATGACTTTGCTGACGTTTGCAAATGGTGTGTTAGAGGAAGTTGACTCAGCTTGCGGAAGCATCTGGAGAGCATTACTATAGGGGCACCCTAAAACAGAGGAAGTCTGTTATGTGGCGTCCTGGGATTGGTCTGTGGGGGAAACCACCCATATCATGTTACAGATTATAAATACCATGGTTGAAACAAAGGACGGGGAGGAACAACATATTAGAGATTGGGTCAGTTGTTCTCCAGATGTCTGCAGGAGTCTGTAAATTGGCACTGAAATCTTCGATGTAATAAACTATTATAATCAAGGACAGTGTCAGTGGATTTCTTGTAATCACAGCATCGTTATCTCGACACTACAGTAAATGATATCATCAGTAGGACTGGTGGAGTTATGTCGCACATGGAGCTAACAAAAACATATGGAAATGTCTGCTCTACCCAAAATTACAACCAAATAATTGCAGCCTTACCGCAAAAATGGAAGAGGAAAGTGGAAGGGGGAGAAAGGAAGGAACTTGTCTGTTGGCCTTGCATTAAAGAACATAATTGGTTAAGGAAAACTGTGATAAATAAAAACGTATACCAGTTTCATTTAAGGACCAAAGGATTGACAGCCATCCCATTTAGATTGCAAAATAGTTGGGAAGAGATTTTTGACGTACCGATCGCATGGCATAGTGTTTATGAACTGATACGCAAAACGACACCGGATTCAAAACTTAGAATCTTTCAATTTAAATTATTATATTATTTAAAATTCTTGCTACCAATAGAATGTTATTTATATGGGGGATACAATCTTCCCAGCTCTGCAGATTTTGCTGTGAAGAGATAGAATCATTAGATCATTTGTTTTGGTACTGTCCATTTGTAGCTTGTTTTTGGACACAGGTCCAGGAATGGCTAAAGGATTGCAATATTTACCTGCCGCTAACCTTGCAGATAGCACTACTGGGTGATCTGAAAAGTAATAGTCAATCGATCAATAATATAATAATACTTTTAGCAAAAAAAAATATTTTCAATTCACAATCTGTAGAAACAATGAGAATAGAAAGGTTCAGAACTTTTGTAAAACATCACAGTACAGTTGAAAAATATATGGCAAATAGAAACCCTATATGGATGTGTTAAGAGATAGATGGGTGGTGTTGAATTGCGTTGAAGGATGGGACTAATAACAACTAACAACAAATAATAACAAGATAACTAATAATGTAAGCATACTGTGTCCATATTAAGTATATAGGTTGTAGGTTGGGAGCTTTTGTGAAAGAGCACAGTTAGAAAGATATGGCATATAGAAGCAAACCGGATGGACATCATGAAAATGATCGGAGAGGTTGAGAGTAGAAGAAGTTCAGGAGAAAAAACAAACAAAATAGAATTATTGTAAAATTGACTGTGTCCATAAAATGTAGATAGTAAGTATAAGCTGGAAGTAGAGGCCTAAGCATTGTTGTTCACTAGTTTACTCCAAGTTTTTATTTTTTTATTTTTTTTCACCTTTATTTAACCAGGTAAGCCAGTTGAGAACAAGTTCTCATTTACAACTGCGACCTGGCCAATATAAAGCAAAGCAGTGTGATAAAAACAACAACACAGAGTTACATATGGGGTAAAACAAAACATAAAGTCAAAAATACAACAGAAAAAATATATACAGTGTGTGCAAATGTAGCAAGTTATGGAGGTAAGGCAATAAATAGGCCATAGTGCAAAATAATTACAATTAGTATTAACACTGGAATGATAGATGTGCAAAAGATGATGTGCAAATAGAGATACTGGGGTGCAAATGAGCAAAATAAATAACAATATGGGGATGAGGCAGTTGGGTGGGCTAATTACAGATGGGCTGTGTACAGGTGCAGTGATCAGTAAGCTGCTCTGACAACTGATGCTTAAAGTTAGTGAGGGAGATAAAGAGTCTCCAGCTTCAGAGATTTTTGCAGTTCGTTCCAGTCATTGGCAGCAGAGAACTGGAAGGAATGGCAAGTAGGGAAAGGGTGGTGGGGTTGGAAAGTAATAAAGGGGAATATATTATTTTTTAAAGGATATGTATGTGTATGTATGTATGTGTGTATCTATATATATATATATATATATATATATATATATATACATATACATACATACATACATACATATCCTTTAAAAAATAATATATTCTCCTTTATTACTTTCCAATCCCACCACCCTTTCCCTACTTGCCATTCCTATATATATATGTGTATGTGTATGTAAGTATATATACACTGCTCAAAAAAATAAAGGGAACACTAAAATAGCACATCCTAGATCTGAATCAATGAAATAATCGTATTAAATACTTTTTTCTTTACATAGTTGAATGTGCTGACAACAAAAATCACACAAAAATTATCAATGGAAATCAAATGTATCAACCCATGGAGGTCTGGATTTGGAGTCACCCTCAAAATTAAAGTGGAAAACCACACTACAGGCTGATCCAACTTTGATGTAATGTCCTTAAAACAAGTCAAAATGAGGCTCAGTAGTGTGTGTGGCCTCCACATGCCTGTATGACCTCCCTACAACGCCTGGGCATGCTCCTGATGAGGTGGCGGATGGTCTCCTGAGGGATCTCCTCCCAGACCTGGACTAAAGCATACGCCAACTCCTGGACAGTCTGTGGTGCAACGTGGCGTTGGTGGATGGAGCGAGACATGATGTCCCAGATGTGCTCAATTGGATTCAGGTCTGGGGAACGGGCGGGCCAGTCCATAGCATCAATGCCTTCCTCTTGCAGGAACTGCTGACACACTCCAGCCACATGAGGTCTAGCATTGTCTTGCATTAGGAGGAACCCAGGGCCAACCGCACCAGCATATGGTCTCACAAGGGGTCTGAGGATCTCATCTCGGTACCTAATGGCAGTCAGGCTACCTCTGGCGAGCACATGGAGGGCTGTGTGGCCCCCCAAAGAAATGCCACCCCACACCATGACTGACCCACCGCCAAACCGGTCATGCTGGAGGATGTTGCAGGCAGCAAAAAACTTTCTCCACGGCGTCTCCAGACTCTGTCACGTCTGTCACATGTGCTCAGTGTGAACCTGCTTTCATCTGTGAAGAGCACAGGGCGCCAGTGGCGAATTTGCAATCTTGGTGTTCTCTGGCAAATGCCAAACGTCCTGCATGGTGTTGGGCTGTAAGCACAACCCCCACCTGTGGACATCGTGCCCTCATACCACCCTCATGGAGTCTGTTTATGACCGTTTGAGCAGACACATGCACATTTGTGGCCTGCTGGAGGTCATTTTGCAGGGCTCTGGCAGTGCTCCTCCTGCTCCTCCTTGCACAAAGGCGGAGATAGCAGTCCTGCTGCTGGGTTGTGCCCTCCCACGGCCTCCTCCACGTCTCCTGATGTACTGGCCTGTCTCCTGGTAGCGCCTCGATGCTCTGGACACTACGCTGACAGACACAGCAAACCTTCTTGCCACAGCTCGCATTGATGTGCCATCCTGGATGAGCTGCACTACCTGAGCCACTTGTGTGGGTTGTAGACTCCGTCTCATGCTACCACTAGAGTGAAAGCACCGCCAGCATTCAAAAGTGACCAAAACATCAGCCAGGAAGCATAGGAACTGAGAAGTGGTCTGTGGTCACCACCTGCAGAACCATTCCTTTATTGGGGGTGTCTTGCTAATTGCCCATAATTTCCACCTGTTGTCTATTCCATTTGCACAACAGCATGTGAAATGTATTGTCAATCAGTGTTGCTTCCTAAGTGGACAGTTTGATTTCACAGAAGTGTGATTGACTTGGAGTTACATTGTGTTGTTTAAGTGTTCCCTTTATTTTTTTGAGCAGTATATATATATATATATATATATATATATATATATATATATATATATAAAACATGGGGGATTGGAAGTGATGCAGACAATTACATTGATGGAATTTACAATCTATCTGCAATATAAAGCTGATCTACCCCCTTAAAAAAAGAAAGAAAAAAAAGAAAAGTGTGTGCAAAGCTGCCATCAAGGCAAAGGGTGGCTACTTTGAAGAATCTCAAATATAAAATATATTTTGATTTGTTTAACACTTTTTTGGTTACTACATGATTCCATTTGTGTTATTTCATAGTTTTGATGTCTTCACTATTATTCTACAATGTAGAAAATTGTAAAAATAAAGAAAAACCCTTGAATGAGTAGGTGTGTCCAAACTTTTGACCGGTACTGTATCTTTAGTTTTACTCAAGTATGACAATTGGGTACTTTTTCCACCACGGAGTATAATTTTGCATTACACAAGATACGACACTTTGACATAATCAGAGAAGTTGTAGGGTTGGCTAGATACTCCCATAATCTGCCACTAGATGGCCAAGTGTTGTTGCTGATGGATATTTTGAGTGTTAGTAGGTGTGCACCCTTAGGGTGAAAGTCCGTTTCTGCTCTCTTGCCAATTCCTAATGGCATGACCATCCTGAGTTGGCTAGAAACACACTGGCACCTGGCTATCAATAATCTCACCTAGAGGTTACTAATTATTATTATACTAGGTTACTATGCATTTGTTATATTGTCTTTGCCATATCACTGTAGATGCCAGACTGTAAGCCAGGGTGTGGTGGCAGGCCTCTGACTCAGACCAGTCTATGGGGGCCTAGCCCACAACTAGGTGCTACGTAATAATTCAACCAGAGAATCTGTTCCTGTGGAGTATTGCTGCTTTGATGTCATCATGGTAGAAAGTATTTGGATGCTAAATGGATGTCTAGGCACAGCTGTTGTGAAGTTTCACTGTGACTCTGTCCTTTGTAGCATTAATGCCACAAAGACCTGAAACTGATACGAACCACTGACATATCTGAACTGCATTCAAACCACTGAAATATCAAATGTCTGAACTGCACTTCACTGCCCTCAAATGTGGCCAATGCATGAACACAGTATGATAGACAATTAATAAGGCAACATCAAATTCCACCATGAAGTTCCATTTAATTGTATTTTCTTCTCCCACATTGTCATGTGATTAACACATGAAATTAAACATTTCAATGACAATTTTAACTGACCACATAAAGACAGAAATCATTTTTGTAGGCAAAAATACAGGAATCTGAATCATTAATAGGCTACAACACTGTATTTATTCAGCAATCTGAACCTATTGAAAGGCACTATGGAGTGGAGAGTGGAGTTTAGAGGTTACATTTGTGTCTGTACATCTTTGATGTGTGTGTATTTATTGACAATTTACTAAACTCTAGTTACTCTGGCAAAGTACTCGTAGTGATATTATGTACTGTAATGGCAAAACAAAGAGATGAACTCTAATGTTGATTAAGAAATCAATGTGGATATATTCTAGAGTCTAGACATACCAGTAACATAGTCATCTAAATAAAACAAAACAAACCTTATATTCCCATACTTTAAAAACATATTAATCTGAACAAAACATCTAAATCTCATCTGTAACAGCTGCCCATTGTGAAAGACCGATGGACACTGCTAACACAGTAGCGAAAGAAAGACAAAATGGACACTGCTAACACAGTAGAGAAAGAAAGACAAAATGGACACTGCTAACACAGTAGAAAAAGAAAGTCCGATCACTGAGTGAAGATATCTGACACTGTGGAGATATCTGACACTGCATGCCGCCGCTCAGTCACAGAGATTCTTCTGCTTTCACTGGGAATCAGTCAACTGATCTGCCCAGTCCCATTCAGTCAGTCAGTCAGTAAGGGGGAAGACTAAGGCCTATGCTAAAGCCTGTATGAAGGGCCTGTAACATTATAGGATATCTTTGATGCGCCACAACATGTGAACACTGCAGAACCGAAGCCGGAGGTTGAAGCCTTGCTTCAGGCGTCCAACGGCGAGAATAGCGCCATGTCACATGTCATAATGTGACATTTTTGGACCAAGGTCAGGTAGGGTCACCTGGGCTGAAGCCTGGCTTAAGAGCCAATTACAGTGGAGCTTAGGTGACCTCAGAGAGCACCTTGACCCTCACAGCTTTCCTATTGGAGGAGAGATACATACTGTAGAGAATGCAGATCAGTAATACCTTACACTTGTTACCTTCTGCCGCTAGGAAGCTACAACAGGTGGAGGAATTGGACAATGTAAAACAAATAGTGTGTTAAAGTGTAATCAAGCCCACAGTTAGGTCAGTTGTTACGAAAGACAGACTGCACTTCAAAATGTTTTGGACTTTGGTCAGGAATGTTGAAGGTGTTACTACCAGTCAGTAAACCCTAGCCAGGTAGTAAGGTAATTCTTGTTTTGAACACAACCCCTAGACCAGGGTTCCCCAACTCCTTCTTTATCTAATGTAGAAGGGTCTACTGCAGTAGAAGATTTCCTAAATTAAAATCACTTGGAGCTGATTTGTTGGTTTTTTTACAGTCTTTTATGTCCAACAAAACAATCAAAGTCATTTTGTTTGTTGGACATAAAATACTTTAAAAACACCAGCAAATCCACTCCAAGTGATTTTAATTTTGGAAATCTGTTGCAAAGTATTCCCACTCATAATAGAGAGAGAGAGATACAGTTTACGTACACCTTAGCCAAATACATTTAAACTCAGTTTTTCACAATTCCTGACATTTAATCCTAGTAGAAATTCCCTGTCATAGGTCAGTTAGGATCAACACTTTATTTTATGAATGTGAAATGTCCAAATTATAGTAGAGAGAATGATTTATTTCAGCTTTTATTTCTTTCATCACATTCCCAGTGGGTCAGAAGTTTACATACACTCAATTAGTATTTGGTAGCATTGCCTTTAAATTGTTTAACTTGGGTCAAACGTTTCGGGTAGCCTTCCACAAGCTTCCCACAATAAATTGGGTGAATTTTGGCCCATTCCTCCTGACAGAGCTGGTGTAACTGAGTCAGTTTGTAGGCGTCCTTGCTCGCACATGCTTTTTCAGTTCTGTCCACAAATGTTCTATAGGATTGATGTCAGGGCTTTGTGATGGCCACTCCAATACCTTGACTTTGTTGTCCTTAAGCCATTTTGCCACAACTTTGGAAGTATGCTTGGGGTCATTGTCCATTTGGAAGACCCATTTGCGACCAAGCTTTAACTTCCTGACTGATGTCTTGAGATGTTGCTTCAATATATATATATATATATATATATATATATATATCCACATTATTTTCCTTCCTCATGATGCCATCTATTTTGGGAAGTGCACCAGTCCCTCCTGCAGCAAAGCACCCCCACAGCATAATGCTGCCACCCCCGTGCTTCACGGTTGGTATGGTGTTCTTTGGCTTGCAATCTACCCCCTTTTTCCTCCAAACATAACGATGGTCATTATGGCCAAACAGTTCTATTTTTGTTTCATCAGACCAGAGGACATTTTTCCAAAAAGTACGATCTGGCTTTTTTATGGCGGTTTTGGAGCAGTGGCTTCTTCCTTGCTGAGCGGCCTTTCAGGTTATGTCGATATAGGACTCGTTTTACTGTGGATATAGATACTTTTGTACCTGTTTCCTCCAGCATCTTCACAAGGTCCTTTGCTGTTGTTCTGGGATTGATTTGCACTTTTCGCAACAAAGTACGTTCATCTCTAGGAGACAGAACAAGTCTCCTTCCTGAGCGGTATGATGGCTGCGTGGTCCCATGGTGTTTATACTTGCATACTATTGTTTGTACAGATGAACGTGGTACCTTCAGGCGTTTGGAAATTGTTCCCAAGGATGAACCAGACTTGTGGATGTCTACAATTGTGTTTCTGAGGTCTTGGATGATTTCCCCATAATGTCAAGCAAAGAGGCACTGATTTTGAAGGTAGGCCTCGAAATACATCGACAGGTACACCTCCAATTGACTCAAAATGATGTCAATTAGCTTATCAGAAGCTTCTAAAGCCAAGACATCATTTTCTGGAATTTTCCAAGCTGTTTAAAGGCACAGTCAACTTATTGTATGTAAACTTCTGACCCACTGGAATTGTGATACAGTGAATTATAAGTGAAATAATCTGTCTGTAAACAATTGTTGGAAAAATCACTTGTGTCATGCACAAAGTAGATGTCCTAACCGACTTGCCAAAACTTTAGTTTGTTAACAAGAAATTTGTGGAGTGGTTGAAAAACAAGTTTTAATGACTCCAACCTAAGTGTACGTAAACTTCCGACTTCAACTGTATGTTATTGTATACAAATGCAGGTTTGAAATTATTGTATTTTTTGGGATGTTTTGTGTGTAAGATTTTATTTTGGTAAACAATACAAATACACATACAAATTAACATTCAACAAACATTAACTACATCACCTGCCCAGACCCACATGCCCACACCCCCATCTCCAGTGCACACGTCACTCTCCGCCACATGGCCTCAAACTGCCGTCGCCCACGCACTTTCAACACTTAGATGATAAAGCATTTGACCTTTCCATTGTGCTAACGACGGAGGATTGGTTGATTTCCAGTTTTTAAGTATACGTTTTTTCAAGATGATTGACGAGAAAAGTATCATCCAACACATCAGGTGTCTCACTGCACCCTCATATGCCATGTCTTGAAATATGCAGACAGCCGGATTAAAAGTAAATTGACATTGTAATGATTATGTTTTTGTCAAATTTTATATCTGTTTGGGCTTCTTGAGGTCAATTTTGCAGTCTACAAATGATCTGTAATTATGTTCCGGCCCCCTGACTATCTGCTCAATAAATAAATTGTCCCGCAGCTGAATCTAGTTGATGATCCTTGCCCTAGACACATACAAGGTTGAACCAGGAAACAACCACATTTTTGTGCCGTTTTAAATAGTGGACTATTGTTGAACTGTGTAGAAGTATGGGGCTTTCATTTCCTGATTCACTGGAATTCATCACCTCTGCAGTGTTCTAAGGGGAGCACAATGTTCAAACCACTCCCCCTTGGCCCCAGCCCTAAACAGACATGCAGAGCCATCAATAGTTGACACGCAAAGTTAAAAAGCATGCGTGAGTTCAGGGTGGCTTCTAAATCATGTGTTATGTAATCTGTCACGCACATGCTCAGGCAGCGTTATGAAGCTTTTATCAAATGTATTTTTCCCCAACATTATAAAAACATTTTTTTATTCAAATATCTTTAGTTGCACTGCAGTTTCTGACACACACAAAACACCCCAATCTAAGTTCACTACTTTCGCAATGATTTTGTGCTTAGTGAATATAAACCTACCCAAGCTCTTTTCCATCTCTTTAGCAGTTTTTCATGTTCTGAGAGGGCACCCCTCCATTGGCTCATATCTCTGGATGGAATACTGTCTTCATCTGTTTATCAAAAACAAAACTTACTGTATGACACTTGACTCCTGTAATATCAGTTGAATTCAGAGAATTGGGTCATGTTCATTAGGCAACAAACGGAAAGAAAATGTACTGAAACGGTAAAGAATTAACACCTGGACTTGCAAACCATTTTCCGTTGTGTGCCCTAATGAACACAACCCTTGTAATCGAGGATTACCTGGGGGCGTATTGATTACGCCGAATTCTGTTGCAAAACGTTTCTTAAACGGAAGCAAATGGAACGAAACGGGGAGGGACCTACTTGAATTTGTCCAATAGAAACTCATTTTTTGCAACATTTTGCAACCGTATCTAATGATTACACCCCTGTCCTTGTTAATAAGATTTGCATTGATTTTCTAGAATCTACTGCATCATTTGACATCAGGCCATACGAGGACTCATTCATAGGACTCGTTCAATCATGCAGGCAGGAGCTTATGTAGAGAGGGGAGCAAGATAAACATGTAGCTATCCCAGCCATCCCTGATCACTACCTCTACTGAGGATGTTGAGGTCCACTTTAGACGTGTCATTTCCTGCGCTGGACGCAGCGACACACTGGTAGCTGGAGTCCTTGACCAGGGCCCTCTCTCTCACCCAGCTGCTCACCAGCACTTCTCCATCGGGGTCCCCGTGGACCAGGGGGTGACGGTACTCTGTGACGGGCGTCTCCAGGTGGGCCCCGTTCACCTGCCAGTGAATGTGGAGATCACTGGGACCTGAGGAACATAATGGGACTTCATATGGACCTTGGATGGAGAGTCTCTATTGTGAACATGCTTTTTAGTCCAGGGCTAAGCTTCATCTCTGTCCAGGAACCCGGCCCTATGTTTCTCCAGCTAGGCTCCTTAACCGCTTACTATAGAGCGATGCTATAGTACTGCCATACTATTCTGGTTCACAATGTTTCAGCCCAAAATGGTTTGCAAAGGGTTGCCTTCTATAATCATGACAGGGAGCCGATAGAATTAGATAAATTAAAGTCTGTGGTTTTACTGAAGGTTTTATTTCCGTAGACCAGGTGGGTGCTTTTTCACAATAAAACTGATGTGGAGGCACGTCAATTCTAAGCGCTCACCCCCCAAATGAACTCCTGGGTCTGCTATCATAGAAATACCGGACAGATCTGTTTCGAACAGATCCTCAGCGCAGAAAGGACTCATCATTCCGAACTTAATCCATACAGTTTTTCAGACTCTAATCCGATAGCATATATTACTGTGGACCACTTCATTCTAAATACTGCCTAGGATCTAGTGTGCAGATTTGAGTCCAAATACATGTACTCCTTTTGTGCGTCAGAATAGTTTAACATTCAATCGTGATTGAGGGAGAACTTAATTTGCGGTGAGGTGAATGACTTGTGCAAATGTTCTCCGATGGCCTTTTCATTTGTTTTCAAAAGATCACATTCAGTCAATTCGTTTTTTCAATGTTTGCAATTTTAATCTTTCAAAAAAAGGTCATCAAGACTAAACTTTAATCAAATCAGAAGCTTATCTTCTTACATTTCCTGTTTGTGTGTGTATAATGTAACCTAGTCAGCTTGGTTTGCACATGTTAGCATTATGACAGTTAAACAAACCAGTAGGCTAATGTTCAAAACATTTGAAATCAGGATTTATTAAAACTTCAGTAGCTACCAACAGTAGCCTCAGAATGTCTGTTTGGATATATGAACATCTTCAAAAAAGTATATTCCATATATACACAAATATATACACTGTACAGGCAAAAGTTCTAGTATTAGATCGTATTGAAACTCAATAATTGACACATTGAGCTTAAAAAGTACCAAAAAGAGTCCTTTGTTCTTATAAAGACACCTCTCGCCTCGTTTCCAATTAAATATATCAGTCTCAGGTCAGATTTGCCAATAACAAGAGATACAAAATGGTGCAAGTTTATATTTGCAAAAATATGGAACTAAAACCTTTGAGACAACTTGATCAATCAAATACACATTGAGCTGATCTACTGTACCTTATCAACACAAAAACATCTACCTTTTCATCACATTATTGTTCAGATTTGTACCGTCATCCTATCGGATTTAACGGGGTCAGAAGAACACATGGCTCACTTGTTTTGAGGATCTGAACACATCCCAGGTTAGGGTAGAAAGGTAGGTAGGTATGTAGGGGGTTGGTTGATGTGTGAGTCTGAGGGGAGAAGGTCACATGCAAGGTGCGGAGCGAGAGAGAGAGAGAGAGAGCGATCACAACAGGCACCACTCACCCACGGCCAGACAGAAGAGCAGGAAGGCCTCCTGAGCCTGAACCCCCCAAGCCTGGTCCGGGAGGGACGGGGGCAGCAGGCACACCCCTAACCCCTCAGAGGAGGTGGAGGAAGGAGGGAGACAGGGACTACTTCCCGAGGTGGACAGGGATGAGGAAGTGTCGACAGGAGAGAGAGGAGGAACAGCAGAGGAGGAGGCTGTGAGGGAGAGAGGGAGGAGGTGGGGAGAGCCGAAGAAGAGAAAGGAGAGTTCTCTAAGGACAACAGCCAGGCAGTAAGAGAAATGTGTGAAACAGACAGACACAGGAGGGGAGGCTATAGGTCTAACTATTAAAAAGAGGCTTTGTGAACCAATAAATCCAGTGAAATGAAGAAAATAACATTACTACGCAAAAATTAAATTAAAACATACTAATACAGGTCTGACAGTTTTTATCACTAAATAACCATAATCTTTAAAAAGAGTAAAAATTAAAGCTTCATTAAATAAAAAACATCTGATTACTTTCAGTGCCCATGTTCTAAGGACAAAGAAAACAGAAATGCTTTATTAATATTTCACCTTTTCTTTTTTCCAAAGCATCTAGCGTTAGAGAAGCTTAATTTGGACTCAAACTGTACATACTGACCAGTGGGGGAAACTAACCAATACAGGTTAATATGGAGGAAGATCATGTCTAGTAAATATGACGCCAGAGTTCACGTGTCTTCGTACCATTGGAATTGTGGATTCACAGGAGATTAAGAGAAACAGAGTTGGAATGGAGCAGTGTAGCTCTGGAGAGGTCTGCTTCAGACAGCAGTGGTTTGAGTGTCCAGCATTCTCCGTCGTTGTCATCTAGTGAGTCACGATCACTCACTTCAGCATTTTGCCTTATTTCGTCGCAGCATGAAACAGGATTACCAAAACCACGTCCTCCTTTCATAAAACAGCTGATGATTACCAAAACCACGTCCTCTTTTCATAAAACAGCTGATGATTACCAAAACCACGTCCTCCTTTCATAAAACAGCTGATGATGCCTCATATGCTTAATCTGACCCAGGCCCCTCTGTTTTTAATATTGTCCTTGTCAAACATGTAAGGGATAAAACTAGATTTAAGTGATAATGCCCGAGAAGCCGGTGTTTGGAGGATATATTGGCACGAGTGTTGTTAGGCCCGAGACAAAATTGAAAACCGTGCAAATATGTCCTCCAAACACCGGCTTTGACGGCATTATCACTTTTATACAACGGGTTACCAACATATTCAAATAATGATTTACATATTTTCATTAAAAACGTTATTTGGATTAATTTATTCATACTATTTCATCCTTCCACAAGATATAGTCCCGACACAAATCTAGGGTTGCTACCCAAGCCGGCTGGTCATTTGTTCTATTGGTTCGGTTGCCAGAGACGCGACCCAGTCCTTCAGTCTTTTTGTTCTGTATCTTTGGACACGACCCAGTCGTTCGTTCTAAATGTTCTATTGGCATACTGGCTGGCAAAGTTATTCTCACTAAGTTATTGCTAGCTAGCTAATTTACAGTCACGTCAAACGGTGCAGCCAGAATAACAACAAAGTAGCTACATTTGCATTTGTTTAAGCTGTTTTCTAGTGACATTTATTTGGATACATCCATAACAATGAGCTAATGAGGCGCGATTTCACCTGGCATAGAATATGTGCTCTCTTGTCAGGACACTGTTGTTCAGAGGAGCTAGCCAACAACACAGCGAACACAATCACTTCAAACTGAAGCTGGAAAGACCGCAAACTAGCTGCACTTCGTTTCATTTGACCTGTTTTCTATTGACATTTCTTTGTATACATCCATAAAAATGATGCTGATTCACAATTTGGACTGGCTGAGAAAAGCTGCCTGTCTGTCTGTCTCATCCCGACACGTTCATTACTATGGGACAGCTGGAGATCGAATTTCAATACTGAAACAATGTTGCAAATGTCAGAGAGACAGACTATTGAAAACCAATTGCTAGTCTTAAAGAAATGGGAGATAATGTCTAGATGCTTTTTATAGTGGAGATCAAGTTTATGAATTGTCTGGCTGGGCTGATGAGACAGTGGCTTGCGCAGTCAGATGGAACAGAGTAAATAGGCATTTCAACGTCATAGATTTAGCCAGTGGTAACTTGTGGAATAGACACCGGTTGGAATGCGGTTTTAACCAATCAGCGTCCAGGATTACACCCACCCGTTGTATAAATATCTATAGATCTCATACCACAGTCGTACCACACCTCTTCCTTCAGTCAGTCACTGGCCACCAGTGGTTTTATCTGTTTATCACATACCTTTTTCTAACCACCACCCTCCCATTGTAGTGAACAAGGCTTAGAGCGAACTAACGAACCGTCCCTGAGAATTTACAGATCGTACTAGAGGTTCTATGGGAGATCGTACTAGAGGTTCTATGGGAGATCGTACTAGAGGTTCTATGGGAGATCGTACTAGAGGTTCTAGAGGAGATCGTACTAGAGGTTCTAGAGGAGATCGTACTAGAGGTTCTAGAGGAGATCGTACTAGAGGTTCAATGGGAGATCGTACTAGAGGTTCTAGAGGAGATCGTACTAGAGGTTCTATGGGAGATCGTACTAGAGGTTCTATGGGAGATCGTACTAGAGGTTCTATGGGAGATCGTACTAGAGGTTCTATAGGAGAACGTACTAGAGGTTCTATAGGAGAACGTACTAGAGGTTCTATGGGAGATCGTACTAGAGGTTCTATGGGAGATCGTACTAGAGGTTCTATAGGAGAACGTACTAGAGGTTCTATAGGAGAACGTACTAGAGGTTCTATAGGAGAACGTACTAGAGGTTGGGAGGGAAAGCAGCTGACCTACTATATCAAATAGCCTTATTCACTGAACATTCAGAAAAAAATAAACAAGCGTTAGAAGAGTTTTCCCCGCATTGTATAAAAAAAATAACTAAAAGGCTCCAATTTGGAAAACATCAAGTTAACTTACCAATTTGGTAAACAATGTTTCCAATTTGGAATAAAAATCAGCGTTTCTTGCTGGAAAATGCAGAGAGAGAGGGTTACAGGTTTGCACAGAGATTAGGCTATGATTTTAATATTTAGTTAGTAGGTCCTAGATTGTATTGATCTTGGGGTATGTAGAGTGAGTAAGAGAATCTCTGAAGGCAAGCGGGATGTGTGACTTGACCTCCTAATAACTGAAGTAATCTGCCTCTGTCTGTCCTTCTGAAAGAGAGGTGGCCACTGAGCTTACGTTTACCCATGTATAACACACAGGTTTGTATATATAGGCCCACTATGTAGAGAGAGACAACGAGGGAGAGTACCCCTATAAATAACAAGCCTTAATATTCACTAGTAAAGAGAGAAGCTGGGATGTGTATCTTTCAGTACGGTGACACGTCTAGATCCGCGTCTGCATATTCAATGGGCTGTGAGTCACAGTCCTACGTCAAAGGGCTTCTCTTTAGAAGGACTGTCTTCCCCCCCGTAGCTGCGACAGGGGATCCTGCCGTTGCTACACTCTGGCTCGGTCTCGTAGCCGGTGTCTCTCAGGGCTCGGAGCTGTGCCCCGTTCTGATTCAGGTGGATCTGATCCTTTACGTCCAGCTTCTCTACCGTGACAGGCTCCATGAGGCCGGCCTCGCAGGCTAAATACTCAGGCTGGGGCTTCTTCTGGCTTCCCAACAGAGCCGCACGCAGACGAAGACACGGCCCTGGTAGGTACTGCATGTAACAGTTGTAGACCAAGGCAGCCAAGAAGAGGAGGAAGAAGAGGAGGAAGAGGAAGAGGAAAGTGCTGCTGCTGTCGTGTTGGAGGTACTCTGTCGCAGGGTCCCGGGTCTCATCGGCGCCGCTGGAGCTGGGGGGAAGGAGCTTGGGCTGAAGCCTGGCGGTGCTGCTGCTGGGGGGCGTGGTTAGTGATGACGAGGCGCTGTGAGTGGGTGGTGGTGAGGTGAGGGCGGTGGAGCTGGGAGGGGCTGAAGTTAGTGGGAGGGGTCTCACGGTGTTACCGTTATTACCTTCAGCGGCAGCGGTGGACTGGTGGTGGGGGTGAGCGGAGCTGAGGGTGACTGTCTGAGGGGGGTGGCCTCGCGGTGAAGGCCTCCTGGGGACATCCAGGCCTAGGACATACCCACCCAGGAGGCGGCTGAAGTTCTTCCCTGCAACAGGGGCCCACTCCAGTGACCAGCACTCGTACAGGCCCTGGTCCTCTGGGGCCACGCTGTAAATGAGCAGACCTGTCTCACCCATCAGGTGGAACTTGGAGGCCTCGGTCATGGTGCTGCCGTTCACCTTCCAGACCACCATGGCCAGGTTGGACTGAACCAGGCATGGCAGCTCAGCTGAGCTCCCTGGTTTAACTGTCACACGTTGGTAGTCTTCCACAGAGAGACCTGGCGCTGTGAGGAGGAGGAGGAGGAGGAGTTTACTCTCTGAAGAGAGGGGTGGGTGTTACTATATCTTTCCTGAACTTTCTTGCTGTTTTTTAATGCTGTGTTTAATGACAAAAGCTCTGGTGAGTAAGATGTTTATATGGCAATTAAACTTGAACTAAAGCGATATAAAGACATTCCTAAATGAGTGTATTTGTTCACTGTTAGCACTGCATCCTGGGTCTGCCAATAGCTAGTCAGTATGCAGAGACTTTGGTCACGTTAAGACGCAGAGCTACATACCTGAGGGACACTTGTCTGCATCACCGTTAAGGCTCTGGATCAAGTTCCTGAAAAACAAACACAACAGACATTAAGTAAACATACATCACAAAGTAGACAAGGGTTGACACTTCCAGGCTTGTAGTCGGAGAAACAGGATGGACTGGGTTACTCTGAGGCAGTAAAAACATGTAGGTTTTGCATTGTGCTGATAATCCTAATGCCATAATGAAAGGAGTGTTACCGGTGTGTGAGGCCCTGGGTGTGGAAGATGTTGACACAGGTGGAGGAGTCTGGGTCCCAGGCACAGTAAGGGTCCCGGGTCAAGATACAGTCTGAACAGGATGGGTACTTGTCACAGAACGCAGTAGGAGACTGCACCACGCCCGAGTCAGAGCCAGCATACAGGGACCTCGTCTGTGAACACAACCAGGCACATAAGTCTGTGATGGTAACTGAATACCGTGTAACTGACGGTTATGGATGAAAACCGCCATGAAAATAAAATAACCCTCAAAGACATTTAAATAGGCCTACATTCATTTTGGGGTATATTTTTTTATAATTCACTTTATTTTCATGTAGATAAACTTTACCTAATAGCGGGAGTATTTATAGCCTATACTACAGCCATTCAGCAAGCAAGAGGATTGATCGATGCTTCTCTCCTCGAATAGGCCTAGGCCTATTAGTTTTAAACTATATACACTGAACAAAAATATAAAACGCAACATGTTTCATGAGCTGAAATAAAAGATCCCAGAAATGTTCCATAGGCACAAAAATCTTATTTCTCTCAAATTGTGCACAAATGTGTTTACATCCCTGTTAGTGAGCATTTATCCTTTGCCAAGATAATCCATCCACCTGACAGGTGTGGCATATCAAGAAGCTGATTAAACAGCATGATCATTACACAGGTGCACCTTGTGCTGGGGACAATAAAAGGCCACCAGAAATGTGCAATTTTGTCACACAACACAATGACAACAGGTGCCAGTTTTGCGTTTCCTCGAGGTGCAACTGAATTAAACATAGCCAAGGTCCTTTCACGATTCATCCTATAGAATGCATAGCCTATAACCTAATATTGTCAGTAGCATATTATTTTTCCAGTAATATATGATTTCTCTCAGTACTGCGTCCTCTTTAGAAACTTTGAACAACATGTTGTCACAGAGAATGACCGCAGCAGCTTTGGTGACGTTATGTGAATTGTTAGAAAAAGTGGGGGCAAAAACATAAATCGGACTGATGTATTATTTATTTATTGATTTATGTTTAGTGCGTCAAAACCTGAATCTGTGTTCTTTCGGAATTCCAATCTCACATTTCTTAGTTTGTATACCAGACTAATATTTAGAGGTAATAACTTGAATAATAAGAATGAAATGCTACTGATAAAAGCGAAGTGTAATGATAATATGGTAATAGTGAAGATGCAGAGAAAAGCCACGTCTGATACGCACCAATTACCGTCTTGTGTATTCAATAGCTTAGTTTTATTGGGAATGGCTTACCAAGAAAAACGTAGAAAAGGACTAATTTGAGATTTAAAAAAAAGGAGTTGGAGCAGTTAACAAAAAAAGACAGATTTATTTATTTTTGCTCACTTTAATCCATTGTACAGGATGCGAACAGGTGACTGACGTTTCGACGTCTTCCTCAGCTGTATTGTTTTAGTGTTATTGTCATCACAGTAGATGAGAACTCGATTTCCGTGAGAGATATGAGAGTCTCCTTCCATATTTCACTGTGACTTACCCCTTGTGATGACAGAAGCAAGGTCTTGATAGGCTCAGAGTTGTGGAGAAGCTGAATCTCTTCTACTGTATGGACCTCTCCTTCATACACCACTGATTTGTGCAGGATTCCTTTATCTAAAGGGTTAGAGGGGGAAACATGTTACCGCCATATCAACGACTGAAAGATGTCCCTTAATCAGGAGCTGAGAGTTGATCGTAATAATAGTCCCACCAAAGAAGCACTTTTCACAACAACGAGGAAAATAGTAATTAACTGAACTGAAATGGAATTAACACCAACTCCACACAACACTATCCTCTGAACCTCAGCCAGCCCCCCCCCCGAGACCCGTTCGCGCCTACCGGTCCCGGTGAATATGACGTCATATACGTTGTTGTCCAGCGCCTGCACCCTCTCCACAGCGATCTGGGTGTAGTTGACGTCCTTGGTGATGAGTTTGGGCCCGTTGCCGATGGGAAGGACGGGGTCTTCCAGTAGGGGATGGTCTTTTACAAATTGTAGTGTCTTATCAGGCAGGTGGAGAGAGCTGTTGATGTTCTGGAGACGGTTGTGGTTGTTGATACACTACAGATGGATAAGAGTGAGAGGGGGGTGATGCTATGAATGGTCTAACCCAATCCAAATATTACACAATTCAATCCCCCCCCAAAAAATTAGGGTCAATGGAAAACAGTGGGGAAACATGTTTAAAATGTAAATTTCGTAGTTATGTTTAGGAGGTGATTTCAGCAAGCAACACTTACAGCTCCTGGGCGAGGGGTGGGGGTGTTTCCGTTGTACCTCACCCACTTGGTGTGAGACTGTTCCACTGTGGCTTTCTGCATGTACTTCCCATTGGAGAACACCTTTTCAACTGACAACATGTCGTAGGCACACACTGCAGACAGGCCTACATTTCCCCTGGAGAAGAAAGACGAAGCCAACGAGGTCACAAAGACCCTTCCACAGGTGGGTGTCACCGCTTCCATGATGAGATGTGGTTGCTCCTATACCTGTGCAGTTACTGTCATTTCACTAGTAACACCATTGTAAAATTACAGTGCCTTCTGAAAGTATTCAGAAAGTGTTATTCTCCTGTCTTAACTGGTGTCCTGTGTGAATTTAAGTATGCTCCCTCAAATTCTCTCTCTCTCTCCCTCCCGGAAGTACCTGAGCCCTAGGACCATGCCTCAGGACTACCTGGCCTGATGACTCCTGCTGTCCCCAGTCCACCTGGTCGTGCTGCTGCTACAGTTTCAACTCTTCTGCCTGCGGCTATGGAACCCTGACCTGTTCACAAGACGTGCTACCTTGTCCCAGACCTGCTGTTTTCAACTCTCTCTCTCTCTACCGCACCTGCTATTTCAACCTCTAAATGCCCGGCTATGAAAAGCCAAGTGACATTTACTCCTGATGTACTGACCTGTTGCAACCTCTACAACCACTGTGATTATTATTTGACCCTGCTGGTCACCTATGAATGTTTGAACATCTTGGAGAAAATTCTGGCCTTCAATGGCCATGTACTGTTATAATCTCCACCACGCACAGCCAGAAGGGGACTGGCCACCCCTCAGAGCCTGGTTACTCTCTGGGTTTCTTCCTAGGTTTCTGCCTTTCTAGGGAGTTTTTCCTAGCCACCGTGCTTCTACATCTGCATTGCTTGCTGTTTGGGGTTTTAGGCTGGGTTTCTGTATAGCAATTTGTGACATCTGCGGATTTGATTGATTGATTGATTCACACCCCTAGACCTTTTCCACATTTTGTGTTACAGCCTGAATGTAAAAATTGATTAAATGTTGATTGTTTGTCACTGGCCTACACACAATACCCCATAATGTTGGTGGAATGTATATATATATTTTTGTTTTTACAAATGAATAAAAAAAAATGTCTTTAGTCAATAAGTATTCAACCCCTTTGTTATGACGAGCCTAAATAAGATCAGGAGTGAACATTTGCTTAACAACTCACATAAGTTACATGGTCTCACTATGTGTGCAATAGTGTTTAACATGATTTGAATGACTACCTCATCTCTGTACCCCACATATACAATTATCTGTAAGGCCCCTTAGTCAAGCAGTGAATTTTAAACACAGATTCAACCACAAAGACCAGGGAAGTTTTCCAATGCCTCGCAAAGAAGGGCAGCTATTGGTAGATGGGTCAAAATAAAAAAAGCAGACATTGAATATCCCTTTCAGCATGGTGAAGTTGTTAATTACACTTTGGATGGTGTATCAATACACCCAGTCACTACAAAGATACAGGCGTCCTTCCTAGGGGTGACCCCATTTAGTCGACTGGTCGAGTGTTTGGTCGATCAAGATTTCTTTAGTCGAGCAGTAGCAAAAAAAATAATGCATGGTGTACAAGACACCTGTCTGATTGGCTCCTGTCTGAGTGGACTGATCCATTGTGGAGGCCGTGGGGATGGCACAGTCCATCACTCTAAGACATGTGCTGCTGCAATTGTATTTGGTTAAGGACAATGGTGCAACACTAATACATGTTTTATTATTTTATAACAAATGCGCTTTCTCCTGCGTTTGATAGCGGTCGCTGTCCGCGGTTCTGAAACATCAGCGCGCTGTTGAATTGGCGCCTATTCCTAGACCGTGTTGCTATGTGCATAATAGCAAAGTTAACCAGCATATTGGTGTTGAGAACAATGCGGTGGAGTTAGGAGACGAGAAAACAGCCCTTGGCCTTAATTGTCTAAGAAAAGTGAGAAGATCGGAAACCCCAACTTAATTAGGTCTATAATCAATAGCCTAACCGTTAAATGTGCCTGGATTTATACATTTTACATTTACATTTTAGTCATTTAGCAGACGCTCTTATCCAGAGCGACTTACAGTTAGTGAATACATATATATATTTTTTTATACTGGCCCCCCGTGGGAATCGAACCCACAACCCTGGCGTTGCAAACACCATGCTCTATCAACTGAGCTACATCCCTGCCGGCCATTCCCTCCCCTACCCTGGACGACGCTGGGCCAATTGTGCGCCGCCCATGAGTCATCCTTATCATCCATATACACTACCAGTCAAAAAATGTGGACAGACCTACTCATTCCAGTGTTTTTCTTTATTTTTACTATTTTATACATTGTAGAATAATAGTGAAGACATCAAAACTATGAAATAACACATATGGAATCATGTAGTAACCAAAAAAAGTGTTAAACAAATCAAAATATATTTTTAGATTTGAGACTCTTCAAAGCAGCCACCCTTTGCCTTGATGACAGCTTTGCACACACTTGGCATTCTCTCAACCAGCTTCATGAGGTAGTCACCTGGAATGTATTTCAATTAACAGGTGTGCCTTGTTAAAAGTTAATTTGTGGAATTTCTTTCCATCATGCGTTTGAGCCAATCAGTTGTGTTGTGACAAGGTAGGAGTGGTATACAGAAGATGGCCCTATTTGGTAAAAGACCAAGTCCATATTTTGGCAAGAACAGCTCAAATAAGCAAAGAGAAATGACAGTCCATCATTACTTTAAGACATGAAGGTCAGTCAATCCGGAAAATGTCAAGAACTTTGAACGTTTCTTCAAGTGCAGTCGCAAAAACCATCAAGCGCTATGATGAAACTGGTTCTCATGAGGACCGCCACAGGAAAGGAAGACCCAGAGTTACCTCTGCTGCAGAGGATAAGTTCATTAGAGTTAACTGCACCTCAGAAACTGCAGCCCAAATAAATGCTTCACAGAGTTCAAGTTATAGACACAGCTCAACATCAACTGTTCAGAGGAGACTGCGTGAATCAGGCCTTCATGGTCGATTTGCTGCAAAGAAACCACTACTAAAGGACACCAATAATAAGAAGAGACTTGCTTGGGCCAAGAAACATGAGCAATGGACATTAGACCGGTGGACATCTGTCCTTTGGTCTGTTGAGTCCAAATTTGAGAATTTTGGTTCCAACGGCTATGTCATTGTGAGACGCAGAGTAGGTGAACGGATGATCTCTGCATGTGTGGTGGGGTATGCATGTGTGGTGGGGTATGCATGGGTGGTGGGTTATGCATGGGTGGTGGGGTATGCATGGGTGGTGGGGTATGCATGTGTGGTGGGGTATGCATGTGTGGTGGGGTATGCATGGGTGTCCTAGCTGTATGCCAGTAGTTCAAACAGACAGCTTGGTTTATTCAACATGCCAATGCAAAATTACAATGCTTGTCTTTCATAATTTGGTGAGATATACTTGGATGTGTAGTGTCAGCGTTTGTTGCTGGCATGTCATGCCTAAGTTCGCTAACCTTGCCAATGAAAAAATCATTAAAGTAGTTGGCAATATCAGTGGGTTTTGTGATGAATGAGCCATCTGATTCAATGAATGATGGAGCGGAGTTTGCCTTTTTGCCCAAAATTTCATTTAAGGTGCTCCAAAGCTTTTTACTATTATTCTTTATGTCATTTATCTTTGTTTCTTCTTCTTTTTATTCAGTTTAGTCACATGATTTCTCAATTTGCAGTACGTTTGCCAGTCGGTTGTACAGCCAGACCTATTTGCCATCCATTTTGCCTCATCCCTCTCAACCATACAATTTTTCAATTCCTCATCAATCCACGGGATTTAACAGTTTTTACAGTCATTTTCTTAAATGGGTGCATGCTTATTAGTAATTGGGATAAGCAATTTCATAAATGTGTGAAGTGCAGCTTCTGGTTGCTCGTCATTACACACCACAGACCAACAAATATTATTCACATCAACAACATAGGAATCACTACAGAACTTATTGTATGACCTCTTATACACAATATTAGGCCCAGCCTTTGGAACTTCAGTTTTCCTAGATATGGCTATTATATTGTGATCACTACATCCGATGGATTTGGATACTGCTTTCAAACAAATTTCTGCAGCATTAGTAAAGATATGATCAATACATGTTGATGATTTCATTCCTGTACTGTTTGTAACTACCCTGGTAGGTTGACTGATAATCTGAACCAGGTTGCAGGCACTGGTTACAGTTTTAAGCTTTCTCTTGAGTGGGCATCCTGATGACAGCCAGTCAATATTTAAATCACCCAGAAAGTATACCTCTCTATTGATATCACATATATTATCAAGCATTTCACACGTTATCCAGATACTGACTGTTCGCACTTGGTGGTCTATAGCAGCTTCCCACCAGAATGGGCTTTAGGTGAGGCAGGTGAACCTGTAGCCGTATTACTTCAACAGTATTTAACATGAGATCCTCCCTAAGCTTTTCAGGAATGTGGTTCTGAATATAGACCACAACACCGCCCCCATTGGCATTTCTGTATTTTCTGTAAATGTTATAACCTTGTATTGCTACCACTGTATCATCAAAGGTATTATCTAAGTGAGTTTCAGAGATTGTCAGAATATGAATGTCATCTGTTACTAGCAAATTATTGATTTCATGAACCTTGTTTCTTAAGCTACATATGTTAACTTGGGCTATTTTTAACACTTTTCTGGGATGCTTTTTTCCTGCTTTACTGGGAAGCTTAGCAGAGGTAGACATACTCAAGTTATTTTTATTAGTGCAGGGTGAGCTGCACACAGTGGACTTCCTCATAGGGCACACCACCTCAGTGCTAACAGTATTACTCTGGTTCATAGGCATATGATTACTGCATACAATAGCTGTAGGATCAGCAGAGGCATTCCGGGCAGTAGGAGGGACATAAATTAGGTTATTTACATTGTGTCTTCCAACGCCCCTAGGATAATGTAGTGGTCCTCTGTAGCTCAGCTGGTAGAGCACGGCGCTTGTAACGCCAAGGTAGTGGGTTCGATCCCCGGGACCACCCATAAAAATGTATGCACGCATGACTGTAAGTCGCTTTGGATAAAAGCGTCTGCTAAATGGCATATTATTATTATGTACATTTGCTGAATCATTATGACAACTCAGCGACACAATGGTAGGGATTAAATGAGCTGGACTTGGGTCATTGATAAGTCATTGTCTCAACGCAGCCTTATAATGCTGTGAAAGGATCCAGGAACCCAAATGATTTGGGTGGATCCCATCCTCGTAATACGAGCTTAGGAAAACTAGTGGAAAACCTTGTTCAGTCTGCTTTCCACCAGACACTGGAAGATTAATTCACATTCCAGCAGGACAATATCCTAAAACACAAGGCCAAATCTACACTGGAGTTGCTTACCAAGAAGACAGTGAATGTTCTTGGGTCGCTGAGTTAGTTTTCACTTAAATCTACTTGAAAATCTAATAGCAAGACCTGAACATGGTTGTCTAGCAATGATCAACAACCAATTTGACAGAGCTTGAAGAATAATGGGCAAATGTTGCACAATCCAGGTGTGGAAAGCTGTTAAAGACTCACCCAGAAAGACTCACAGCTGTAATTGCTGCCAAATGTGCTTCTACAAAGTATTGACTCAGGGGTTTGAATACTTATGTAAATTAGATATTTCGGTATTTCATTTTCAATAAATTATCCAAAAATTATAAAAACATGTTTTCATTTCATCGTTATGGGGTATTGTGTGTAGATGGGTGAGATATTTTTTTAAATACATTTTAAAGTCAGGCTGTAACACAACAAAATGTGGAATAAGTCAAGGGGCATGAATACTTTCTGAAGACACTAACACGTTAATAAAATGGTGTTACTAAAGTTATTACAGTGTCCTGACAGAAGATGCTAACTCACCACTGGGATGTGAACACTCCGTAGATGACCGTCTCTCTCCAGTCAGGAGTCTTCAGTATGAACACGTCATGAACCACAGTTGAACACAAAGTTGAGCTCTGGCATGGAACACACCAGCTTGGCCTTCAGGAAACTGGTCCATTTCTTCTGTAGTGTCCGCTGGCCTCCCAGATCACCCTGCAGAGAGATGAGGCACATTCATATATAATAATAAAACAACATATGACACTTAGCAGACACTTTCATCCAAACATTTTTTGTATGTATAATTGATCCCTGCAGGAATTGAACCCACAACCTTCAACCAGTTGAAACAGGACACAGGGGAAAAAACGGTACTGTGGTTTGAAGAAAGACAGCAAGAGAGAGAAGGGAGAAGAGAGAGAAGGGAGAAGAGAGAGAGACAGAGACAGAGACAGAGAGAGAGAGAGAGAGAGAGAGGGGGAGGGAGAGAACACCATAGCGGTGCCAGTGGCAGATGGTTAGCTACTCCGCTGACGTGTCCTAACCTTACAGACGCGTGCTATCCTGGGGATGAGCAGCTTGCCAAAGAACTCGTACTCCACAGACACCTCAGTAAAGAAGTAGTAGATCTTATCATCCTCGCCATCTGCACTGTTCTTCCCCTCTCTGATGACATCAGCAAAAACAAAACTGGGTTCTGTGGGGTCGAGAGAGATATTGGATGGGTCAGTGGTAAATAAATGGTTTCTCTGTATATTGAACAGAGTGAGGAAAACCTGAAGGTGGATCAGCTGTTACTTTTTTAGAGGATCTTGGATGTAAGCTCCTTAACCCTTTACACTCGTGGGAATTGGCCTATATGGAAAGGGCTAAATAGACATGTCTTACAGAAGAAATATGAAGAGCATGTGCATAACCATGGTAGCAATTGAAAGGGAATAGTTTGGAGATTATGGGAAAGTTATTTGACTAAAATTGAGGACAACAGTTCACCTGACACCAGACTGAATCCAAAACATTACACTGTTGATTTTGCCTTTACTCTACTTATAGCCGCATTTGTTGATAACAAAATCTGAAAACACTCTGGATACATTCAGTAACATGATAAGAATATTCCTGGGAAATGTGGGGTAGGGGCAACAAATTCCTTATATGGAGAGGAGCAAGTATCACAGCCTTTACCGTTCAGCCAAGATGTTGAATACTCTGTCCGCAGACTCTGTGAAAGAGAATATCTGTAGATGATCGGCTCACTTCCTAAGAAGTTATATGAGGTTCCAGAGTAAAGTTCTCCATCTAAAAAGACAGAAGAAAACACAAATAAGATGTAGCTATAATAAAGCTCTGACTTGTTTTTCTCTAAACCAGGTTTGGTTGTTTTTTCGGGCCTAAATGCCTCAAAATATTATAAAATCAGGATAATTATGTGTTTAGGGCTGTGTACCAAAAAAGCTATTGATGAAATCTGGGTCTACTATTGATTAAATCTGTGTCTACTATTGATTAAATCTGGGTCTACTTACCAACCATGACCGTAGTGAAGCTCTGAGATGGGTCAAAGGAACACTTCCCTCTCCCGTCCTCCGCTGAACCCTCCAGACTGAAATCCTTTAGGGACTGATGAGAGCACAAATATGATTATTACACAATGATTACTACTTACTGTGAAGACAAAGTTGAATTTCAACATGGTGTGGACAATAAAGACACTACATTGATTCAATTCCTTTCATTTCTACCTGTAACTTGAAATAAAATAAAGATATAATAAAATAAATCTATAAAGAGGTGGCTGTCTCCAGAGTGATCCAGGGGCGGCAGGTAGCCTAGCGGTTAAGAGCGTTGGGCCAGTAACCGAAAGGTCGCTGGTTTGAATCCCTGAATTGACCAGGTGAAAAAAATATATGTCGATGCGCCCTAGAGCAAAGGAATTGCTCCTGTCAGTCGCTCTGGATAAGAGTGTCTGCTAAATGACTAAATTGTAAACGTAATCCACTTACCAGGTAGTAACAGACAGGCTGAAAAGCATGTGTCCCACAGACATACAGTCGGTTGTCGTCAAACACTTGTAACACCCGGATGTAGTTTAGACAGTCTGTCTGTAAAACACATCACGGAGACACATTTACACCTGGCTGAGAGAGATAACAGAACGAAACAAATCGAGATACCGGAGAGCCAAGACATGGCTTCCTTTCACACGGATAAGAAGTCAGTCATTTGATGGAATAGCAGACGTACCTCTTTAGATTTTCCTTTTAAGATGCACATCGTCATGTGGTTTTCAGAGGCCTTCCATTGAACCTGCAGGGAGGCCATTTAAATAGAAACATTTTCAAAGACAAACTTTCAAGTTGAGACCTTTTGAAATGATAAAACCTTTCTGTACCTTGTTGTTCTTGATTGACACATTGGTCATGCTGAGTTCAAAGATGGCCTCCCTTGCTCCAACGTACAGCACATCCTTATCCTCACTCAACAACAGAGTGGAATAGTTGAAGATTCCTGGCTCAGAAAACTCCACCAAATTGAGCTCTGTTGATAAACAAGACACACAGATTTTAAACATTGTCCAATGCCAACACCCATGATTGAATCTAGGTCAAAAGTAAAGTCAAGCAATTTCACATAGTTACTGAAGAAAAGCAACTAATTATTTCCTTATTGCTTATCTACAATTTCAACAGTGAGGGATAGATAGGCATATAGTGTTCCTCTTAGACATAATACCGGGCCAGTCCAGTCTAGATCTGTTTAGGGGTTATAAAATAAGTTATAGAGGGGTTATAAACCAGTCTCCTTGGTGCATCTGTCCGAGTGTCTATCGTTATGGCTCCTCAGAATGCTTTGTGTGTGTGTGTGTGTGTGGTGATTGATGGTGGAGATGGCAGTAGTTTGCATTAGGTTGAGTGTCTGGCAGCGCCAGCATCAGGTGTGAGAGGGCACAGGTTTCCAGATGCATGCCGGGTAAAAACTCTCAGATGCGGAAGGGCCCATGAGCTATATAAGGCCATAAGCAAACAAGAAAATGCTCATCCAGAGGCAGCGCTCCTAGTGGCCAGGGACTTTAATGCAGGCAAACTTAAATCCGTTTTACCTAATTTCTACCAGCATGTTAAATGTGCAAGCTGAGGGAAAATAAAACTCTAGACCACCTTTACTCCACACACAGAGACGTGTACAAAGCTCTCCCTCGCCCTCCATTTGGCAAATCTGACCATAATTATATCCTCCTGATTCTTGTTTACAAGCAAAAACTAAAGCAGGAAGTACCAGTTACTCGCTCAATACAGAAGTGGTCAGATGACGCTGATGCTATGCTACAGGACTGTTATGCTAGCACAGATTGGAATAAATTCCGGGATTCTTCCCACGGCATTGAGGAGTACACCTCATCAGTCACTGGCTTCATCAATAAGTGCAACGATGACGTCGTCCCCACAGTGACCGTACGTACATACCCCAACAAGAAGCCATGGATTACAGGCAACATCCGCACTGAGCTAAAGGGTAGAGCTGCCGCTTTCAAGGAGCAGGTCTCTAACCCGGATGCTTATAAGAAATTCCGCTATGCCCTCCGATGAACCATCAAACAGGCAAATCGTCAATACAGGACTAAGATTGAATCGTACTACACCGGCTCCGACGCTCGTCGGATGTGGCAGGGCTTGCAAACTATTACGGACTACAAAGGGAAGCACAGCCGCGAGCTGCAGAGTGCAATGTCTTCACTGACATTTTCAACCTGTCCCTGACGGAGTCTATAATACCAACATGTTTCAAGCAGACCACCATAGTCCCTGTGTCCAAGAACACTAAGGTCCTGATGGGCCACCCCCAGGTGGTAAGGGTAGCTAACAACACATCTGCCACGCTGATCCTCAACACGGGGGCCCCTCAGGGGTGCGTGCTCAGTCCCCCTCCTGTACTCCCTGTTCACCCATGACTGTATGGCCAAGCACGACTCCAATACCATCATTAAGTTTGCCGACTACACAACAGTGGTAGGCCTGATCACAGACAACGATGAGACAGCCTATAGGGAGGTGGTCAGAGATCTGGCCGTGTGGTGCCAGGATAACAACCTCTCACTCAACGTGATCAAGACAAAAGAGATGATTGTGGACTACAGGAAAAGGAGGACCGAGCACGCCCCCATTCTCATCGACGGGGCTGTAGTGGAGCAGGTTGAGTGCTTCAAGTTCCTTGGTGTCCACATCACCAACAAACTATCATGGTCCAAACAAACCAAGACGGTCATGAAGAGGGCACGACAAAGCCTATTCCCCCTCAGGAGACTGAAAAGATTTGGCATGGGTCCTCAGATCCTCAAAAAGTTATACAGCTGCACCGTCGAGAGCATCCTGACTGGTTGCATCACCGCCTGGTATGGCAACTGCTCGGCATCTGACCGCCAGGCACTACAGAGGGTAATGCGTACGGCTCAGTACATCACCGGGGCCAAGCTTCCTGCCATCCAGGTGTCAGACGAAGGCCCAGAGAATTGTCAAAGATTTCAGCCACCCAAGCTATAGCCTGGACCAGTGCACCAAGTCTGGAACCAACAGGACGCTGAACAGCTTCTACCCCCAAGCCATAAGACTGCTAAACAAGACCGCTAAATAGCTACATGCATTGACCCTTTTTTGCGCTAACTCTTGCACCAATTATGCACACACACTGGACTCTACCCACACACAACACACCTCAACACAACATACACACTGCTGCTGTCTATTATCTATCCCGTTGCCTAGTCACTTTATCCCTACCTATATGTACATAGCCACCTCAATTACGTTGTACCCCTGCACATAGACTCGGTACTGTTACTCCCTGTATATAATCATGTTATTACCTGGTACTCCCTGTATATAGCCATGTTATTATCTGGTACTCCCTGTATATAGCCATGTTATTACCTGCTACTTCCTGTATATAGCCACGTTATTACCTGGAACTCCCTGTATATAGCCATGTTATTACCTGGTACTCTCTGTATATAGCCACGTTATTACCTGGAACTCCCTGTATATAGCCATGTTATTACCTGGTACTTACATTTACATTTTTAGTCATTTAGCAGACGCTCTTATCCAGAGCGACTTACAGGAGCAATTAGGGTTAAGTGCCTTGCTCAAGGGCACACAGACAGATTTTTCACCTAGTTGGCTCGGGGATTAGAACCAGCGACCTTTCGGTTACTGGCACAACGCTCTTTACCACTAAGCTACCTATATAGCCATGTTATTACCTGGAACTTCCTGTATATAGCCATGTTATTACCTGGAACTCCCTGTATATAGCCATGTTATTACCTGGTACTCCCTGTATATAGCCATGTTATTACCTGGTACTCCTTGTATATAGCCATGTTATTACCTGGTACTCCCTGTATATAGCCATGTTATTACCTGGTACTTCCTGTATATAGCCATGTTATTACCTGCTACTTCCTGTATATAGCCATGTTATTACCTGCTACTTCCTGTATATAGCCATGTTATTACCTGGTACTCCCTGTATATAGCCATGTTATTACATGCTACTTCCTGTATATAGCCACGTTATTACCTGGAACTCCCTGTATATAGCCACGTTATTACCTGGTACTCCCTGTATATAGCCATGTTATTACCTGCTACTTCCTGTATATAGCCATGTTATTACCTGGTACTCCCTGTATATAGCCATGTTATTACCTGCTACTTCCTGTATATAGCCATGTTATTACCTGGTAGTCCCTGTATATAGCCATGTTATTACCTGGTACTTCCTGTATATAGCCATGTTATTACCTGCTACTTCCTGTATATAGCAGTGTTATTTTTTACTCGTTATTGTTATTCACTGTGTATTTATTCCTTTTATCACCATTTCAATTTTTTTATCTTTAACCCTGCATTGTTAGAAATGGACCCGTCAGTAAGCATTTCACTGTTAGTCTACACTTGTTGTTTACCAAGCATGTGACAAATAAAATGTGATTTGATTACTGGAGCCATTATTTGTCAATAGCAGCATACAAACAGTTACTGAACTTCCTCCCCCCTTCAAGAAGCTTGAAAGGCTGGGCAGAGACTCAAGGGAGACTGTGTTGACTGATGTAATGTCTTTAAAATAGTGAACCCTGGGTGAATGTTTATGAGAATTTTAGAAGAAAATGACCTACCACCATCTCTCCGGTAAATCATTTCTCTACAGTCCATTGGTTCTATTGTACTGGGCAAACTTAATCTAGTCCTCAAGTATTTGAGAATACTTTACCCAGGTCTGCTGCAGTGTGAGTGTCTGTGAGGGAAAGTGCTGATTATGTTACCATACCTTCGTGTTTCCAGGAGGTCCGGGGAACGCTGTGGGGTCCGTGTGTGGAAACCTCAAGGAGTAGACCCAAGAACACACCTAGAACTCCGAACACCATGTTGGATTCCGGGAGCAGCTTCGGAACCGTGAAGTTTCCTCTGTGATGACAAAACACAAGAACATTGATTTAATACACAGTCTCTTCTAAAGAGGCAGGTAAAGAGACTAAAAGACTGGTAATGTTCTCCTCAGACACACAGATATATCTCATCACCAGCAGAGAGACAGTTGCACACACAGTAAACCCACTTCCTTTCAGACGGCCCCTATGACCGCATCATCCTCTTTCCAACGCATCTGTTAACTACAGACACATGCAAAGAAAAAATGGAAACAAAAACGCAAAACAAGCGCTTGCTGTTAAGATGATAGACCACGTTAAAAAAAAACCCGCTATAACATGAAAACCTTGTAGTTTGGCCCTGTGACTGAAACGGTCAGTGCTCAGTGTCAGTGGATAGATACATAAACAGACATTGAGACATGCTTAAGCATTTACACATTATGACAAAAGAGGAACATATTCCTGTCCTGTATACTAATGACTCAAAATCGCAACCCAGTTTTAGTGATGTAACCGAGTTTGGCACTTTGTCATCGGTAAATGTGTTATAATACTCTGAGGCTTGAGTGGTTAGTTCTGACAAATTACAGGTGTGTGACCGCCACAAGATCAAACTACAACAGCTAGTATACGTGTATTTGTGCTTTTTCTTATCGCTCAAGTAACCGTTACTCCTCTCAAACAGAACACCACATTTACACTATTTCACCAACCAAAGACATTTCACAACATCTCTCCCAACTCACATCAAATACGTGAAGGACATGCCTCTTCAGCTCGACGCCGAGCTCTAGTCTACAGACCTGCTAAAGACAACAGCTGTGTAGCCTGTGTTTGTGTAATACATACACTACCAGTCAAACGTTTGGACACACCTACTCTTTCAAGGGTTTTTCTTTATTTTTACATTGTAGAATAATAGTGAAGACATCCAAATTATGAAATAACACACATGGAATCATGTAGTAACCAAAAAAGTGTTAAACAAATCAATATATATTTGAGATTTGAGATTCTTCAAATAGCCACCCTTTGCCTTCATGACAGCTTTGCACACGCTTGGCATTCTCTCAACCAGCTTCATGAGGTAGTCACCTGGAATGCATTTCAATTAACAGGTGTGCCTTCTTAAAAGTTAATTTGTGGAATTTATTTACGTCTTAATGCGTTTGAGTCAATCAGTTGTTTTGTGACAAGGTAGGGGGGTATACAGAAGATGGCCCTATTTTGGTAAAATAACAAGATCATATTATGGCAAGAACAGCTCAAATAAGCGAAGAGTTATTTCATAGTTTTGATGTCTTCACTATTAATCTACAATGTAAAAAATAGTAAAAATGAAGAAAAACCCTTGAATGAGTAGGTGTCTCCAAACTTTTGACCCGTACTGTACACTATCTTGATCAAAGTACAAGACCGCGGGTGTTGAGTTCAGGTTGGGTAAGGGAGGGAGGGAGAGCAGAAAGCATGTGATGACAGGGCCCTGAACTAACATGATGGGAGTCACTCAGTCCGACAGAGAGAGGGACCATGCGCTCTTCATTTAACATGCAGAGAAAGAGAGCGAGCGAGCGAGAGAGAGCGAGAGACAGCCATGCTCTGCTGCTGCTTAGGTGGGGTCATGTTCATTAGGGCACACTGTAGCCTTTTTTTTAAAAACTGAAAGGCGGATCTCTTCTCTTCCGCAAAGGGCTTTATATGACAACCTTCCCAGCAGCATTACAGATTATATAAAACATGTAATCCGATTTTACTGTCCCTTTTCTATGTACTAATTCACAGCAGCATTATGTTACTCTGCTATTAATGTCAGTTTCCTGACACGGCTCTGATAAGAAACCAATTACAAAGCTTTTTGTCCGTTGACAAAGACGATAAGACCATACAACAACCCATATCTATGACTTTGGAAGGCCTACCTATTTCTCCAACTATCCCTCGGGCAGAGAGAGGAAGGAACTCCCTGGATGGTGCAAGTGGCAAACACCTCTGACAGAGTCAGGGGTCTCTGCCTATTGTTCATATGGTCAACTGGATTGGTTTAGTACACCCATAAATACCCCACAGGGATAATTAATTAGGTCAAGTCTGGAACTCTGGAATTGCACAACTAATCGCATTGGAAAAAACCATACAAAAAAAAAAGATCTGAAAAATGTTGATGCTTGTCAACCTAACTTGAGTTGCTCGTTACATTACATAAAATATTTGTCTGATATAGTGACATTTTTGACTTGCTGTCAATGCTCTTAAATGTAAATACATAGTAGGCCTATGTATTTCTAGGTCAGAGTTGGTCAGCTCAGGCTGGAGAAAGCTCATAAACCTGTGAAATATATGAGCCCACAAAACCCAACTGAAATATGAAAACACATCTCTAATCTAAATGACCTTATTCTTCTATCCTAGGTAGGATTATAATACAAATATTCTGCAACACAAAACACACACTATTGAGGCAGTAACATACTGTAATAGGACATTTTATCAAATCAAAACAAATTATTTCTAATGTGGCTGCATGGAAGATTCATCGATTGCTTATTCACCAAAGTAACAACAGTGTGGTCAAAGACTTTGTAACTTAGTTGCAGTTACGATCTGGTTACCTATAACTACAAACAATTATGTTTTTGTTTTTTAAACATATTGATTAACTTATTTCCAGATATCTTCTACCCACAACGCACTATTTGTCAACGTCATATGGAGAATCTACTCTGTGTTAGCTAGCTTGAGCTGGCTAACGTTAGCCACTAGCCATGCAGACCGAGTGTTGGCAGTGGTGAGCAGCAATCCACCAATCACGAGGTGTGATGTAAAGAATCCGATTCTCCCACGTGGGGGCCGCATGGTCCTGCTCGGCTGCTCCAGTTCAGGCAGCTCTGACTTATCCTGCACAACCGGCAGGCTTGCTTCTGGCTCAAAAGGAAAAGTGGAAAATCATTCCTGCCTGCTTTAATTGTTTAGTATCTTGTCTGGTCATTTTTTATTATTTTTTTTGTCCTCCAATTTGTTTGGTCAACTTTTTTTAACCTGTTCTCCATGAAGTAGGCTACCTTTTTTTCACCCAACCTTGCCTTAGGACTAATGCACCACGGCAGCTGACACTGTGTTGTTGTGATCATTTCCATCTGCTGGAGCCTTCCTACCATCGCAGTCTTATTGTCGACTCTTTCCCTCGTCTCCTGTGCCCAATGCCGCCCCTGGATTACTGCCTCTCGAATCTATCTACTTTGGATTTACCGCACTATATCACTATTGGATTAAGCTGATTCTCCCTCAGCCTTTTCTTAGCTTTTCTTTGGTAGCTAACTCTGCCATTAATCAATAAGTCTCCGCTCTCTCTAATTTATATCTGCTGGCTTTTTTGTGTGTGTGTTTTGTGCCTGTGCTAGACTAGTTGGTGTTCTTACTACGTCGCCATGGTGGTTGGATAGCTATGCTAGTTAGCTGGCTAAGCTAGCTAGCAGGCTAAAATAACTGACTTTAGCTGGCTGGCTAAGATAAAACTGCATACACCGGTAACATTATTTGATAACTGGTTAAATGGTGTTATTCATTTCCAAAATGTTGGTTTCTTTTAATGTATCTGTAAGCTAGGTGTTGATAACAACTGGCTAACTCATGCGGTCACATAACGTTAGCAGGCTTGTAGGGCTAACTTTAGCAGGCTAACGTTAGCAGGCTAGTTGGCTAGCAACCTTGCAAGCTGATTTATAAACAATAAATTCATAAAAGTATTTGCTTGTAAGTTGGCTGAAAATTCCAAGTAGCTTAGGCAAAATGCAACCATATCCTTGGAGGCAGTGATTTCATAAAGACTTCCATATGCCATTGAAACCAGCAGTCCATTTCTCTCATGTTCTATTGGTTTTCAACTTTCTTTCATTGTCCAGTAGCCAAATGCACATTTGTGCGTAGCCTACTGCCTGGTGCGTATTACTGCGATAATAATGTTAAGAAATAATAGTTTTTCAAAACGGTAAGCTAAACATTCTCATTTGTTGCATCAGATTCATTCAAATCATTCAAAATAGGCTACTAGAGCATGATTTGGCCACAGAGGATCATTAGCTTCCCCTGGCCTTGATAAAAAAAAAAGGTGTGGATTGTTTTAAATTGCATTGCCTACAGTCTAAAGGAAAGGCAGCAAGTGATATTTGGGCAGAGCTCGCGGCAAATACCAAATAGATTATTGTCGAGTTGTGACTGTCAGTGAAAAGTAGCGAGGCCCAGATAGGCATATCGCAATATTTCAAAAAATTAAATCATGGGAAAACATCATGGGAAAAGCAAATGGCTGTAAAGAGAAGACAAATTAAAAGACTAAATGTCAAAATTGTCAACTTAATTGAGCGAACAACAGTAGGCCTATAGCCTATCTTAATGGCACCGGCAGAGAGCATCGGCCATATCCCCGGAGAGCGCGCACTGCACAGTCACCATCAGTTGGGTCAGTGCCACTTAAAATCCACTCCTCCAGTTTAGATTGGACGTCATATTATATTTGTGTCGCCCCTTCTCGTAGGCCTATTATATGGACAACGTTGTTTTTATTGATCTGTTTGTCAGCGTCAGCAGAGTAGGCTATCTTGTAATTTGTCGTATTAAAAAAAGATTCTGCTAATGTCTCCAGTCATATAAAGTGTAGTAGAATTGCATGAATTGAATAGGCTATAGCCCAGGCCTCTACACACTTAGTCATGCATTGAACTGTCTTTTTTGCTAACATTGACTTGAGTTATATTATTAGCCTAAATTATGACTATCCAATCTACTCACCACATTACGGATGGTAGGCTCTCTTACATATTTACATTTTAGTCATTTAGCAGACGTTCTTTTCCAGAGCGACTTACAGGAGCAATTAGGGTGCCTTGCTCAAGGGCACAGACAGATTTTTCACCTAGTCGGCTCGGGGATTAGAACCAGCGACCTTTCGGTTACTGGCACAACGCTCTTAACCACTAAGCTACCTTCCGCCCCATATATCTGCAAATGCGAAGATGCATGGAATATTTTATTATAAAA